AAAGCTGCCTGCCGGGGTCTAGCCCCGGGTGAGGTCAGGGCCTGAAGAAGTGTTGATGCAAGAGAGATGAGGGAGGAATGAGTCAGGCCTGGGGATCGGGAGGAGTTTTATATCCTGACTGACTGGCAGTCTGGTTGCTTCTTTATTTATGCAGAACTCAGTAGGCTGGGATAGATAAACGCATGTTGCTCCAAAACATACATCATATCATTTTTGTCCATGGACATGTATTTTAACTTCTGCTTGGTCTAAGTTTAGTCATCATTGGTAAACCATGACAGAACAGAATATCTTTCACAATCATTTCCATCATCAACCCCTCAACCCAACTTTTAAGAATATTGTAGTTTCAAGGGCATATTTTTCCAAAGCATGACAGCCTTTCTCAGGCTGATAGTTCTTACAGTTTCAAGGGCACTAGGCAGAAAGAAAATCTCCAAGCCAGCCTGAATAGATTGCCATGTCCCAAGCAGTGCATTATCAACTTTTAATAGTCAGAATGTTAATTGCTATTAGGCCCAAAAAAGTCTTCAAGCCAAAGATGCTGGAGTTATTATTCAGTTTCTGCCATAATACAATGTTTATATTTTATGTATTTGTAGAGTTCATTCATATGTCTAACCTTGGTATTTTTTTGTTCCTTGGTTGGTCATACAACACCTCAGTGGCCCTGTATGTGTTCACTTTTTCTACGGGGGGGGGGGTCCTTAATACTTTATTCTTTTATCATTTATCCACATCATTCTTTGTCCATTATGAAGAGGCTTTTAATTTGATCTGCTGCCAACTTCTCTAGCCTACAGAACAGTTTATCTTTTAAAGTTTACTTTGTTCTGATTATCTTGTTCCTTAGTAAGTTCAGGGACAGATGTTCCAAGAGCATCTTTGAGTCAGATCCCCATAAGATGATGTTGGGCATACTTACTTGAGTCACAATCTCTAGGACATAAGCAAGGCCTTCAAGTAAGGCCAGATAAGGATATCTCCCTAGAAGCAGGAGGGGTAGGGTGGTAAGGGCATTCCTGGGGAGGCTTAGAAGCAGTACTCCTGGGAGAGGGTGTAAATGATTCATAAGAAATTTCAATCCAATATACACAAGTTGTACAAATAATAAAAGCCCCCGGCAAGCATGGTCACCTGGAAATCAAGGCCAAAAAGTGGGAGAATGCACTATCTCAATTGCATCACTTGGCTCAGCTTTGCTGGAGCTTTGTCAAACAGCTGTGCTGGCTTATTCCCATTAGATGTGGCTGTGCCAAGAGGCATCCAGGCATCAGCAAGCAGAATCCTTGCAGTGGCACAGAGGAAGCATACGATGCAGCCGGATCACTCTGGTAACAGTCATGCCTAGGACAGAGTGCACATGGGGACATGGACACAGGGAAGGTTGTGAAAAACAGATGGAGGTCACTGAACTCTGGCCCAGCCAGCCAAAGGAGTTGATAACAATTGTGTGATCTAAAATTCTCCAGCTTTTATGCCAAGTAGGAATGCTAGTTTCTGAGCCAAGCATGTAGTGTTCATCTAGAATTCCAATTCTCAGGACACTGAGATGAGGGGACTGCAAGTTCCAGGCCAGCCTGCACTGCCTAGCAAGACAGTGCCAAAAAGTTCCTCTCATAATTACCAATGAGCTTCAAGGAGCTGGGGTCCTTTGCATAGGATATCCCTTGGTTTGCCTTACTGCAGTCCCCTGAGTGGTATGGAGAAAGGATAAGAATCTTGAGGAGGCGCCCAACATGCTCAGTGTTTGACAGTCATGCTGAGCCCTGGGCATAAGGTAAAGATCTCACGTTCCACAGTCCCATGTCTCTGATGGGACACATTTTCCCCGAGTTCCCTACAATATCAGCTCTGGCTTGAGGCTCTTGGGATGTTTCTGGCATTGGAGTCACACCCCATTTCCTGACTTGCTGTCACTAAATTCTTCAGCATTACTATATTTGGAAACAAATAAGAGAAGAAAAGATGTTTATACCCTTCACTCACACATAATCATGCTTTGTGGTCTTAATGTGCTTGTTTGGGAAAGTGGTGAGCTTTTGGTGAAACCGCCTATTCTATCTTTAAACCATTCTGCAAAACTCTGCTAACAATACAGAAGAAACACCAAGATCCCGAATCACCATTTAAAATACAAGATAACGCCACTGTAGAAAAACACTGAAATCTGTAACATAGAAGCAGCGAGGCAGCACAGCAGGCAGAGATGCTTGCTGCGGAGCCTGACAACCTGAGTGTGATAGCAGGGCCTGCATTCCCACAAGCTGTCATCTTGTCCTCTGTCCTCCACACACATACTGTAACGTGTGTGTTCACACCTGTAAAATGCCTAAAACAAAAGATAAAAGTGTGGAAGAGGGGAAGTGGAAAGAAGAGGAAGGAGAAGCAAGACAAGATTTTTAGTCCTTTATTTAGAGCAGCAGGACACACAGGGATCATGTCTTCAGCCCCCTGCCTCTGCTTCCACAGAATGGCTCTTACTTATGATGGTAATGGCCAAATGGAGTTTTCTCTGAGGTACCCCTGGTCTAGTGAGGCTCTCAACATGTGGCACTCTTCCGGGAAACCATGGACTTCAGGAACAGACCAGGAGAGAGCCCCCATTTGAGACAGCAAGTCTGACTTGACCTCCAGCTGGTGCAGCTAGGGATAAATGGCAGAGAACGAAGTTCACTCTTTCTGGTCTCTGGTTCCCCGAGTGCTCGCAGAAGCCAGTGGCTAGGCTGAGGGTATTTCAAGAGAGCTGCCGAGGTTTCTGTAGTCATACAGTGGAGCTGCTGGATGGGACACCACTCCTCCAGGTGCCCTTCATCCTAATGGAGGAGTAGGAGCAGATTTTGGCCAGGGCTTGTAGCTGGTCAAGGTGAGGTGAGCATGGAGGTAGAGGTGGCATGAGGGGTACTGAGTTAATAGTGGACAGGACTGGGTGGGGAGCCCAGCTTGCTTAGGGTATGCTGGGGTGGGGCTCTTCAGTTAGATTCACTTATGGTATTCATGGCCTTCTCTAAACTCAACCTCCCATGTGGCATCGTTTTTCTTTCACTTGAAGACATCTTCAGCGTATCCTGAAGTGCAGTCCTGCTGGCTACAGACTCTCCCTTATGTGTATGTGCGCGTGTCCTTAGTTTTGAAGGATACCCCCTCCCCGTGGTTCTCAAGCAAACACTGATCTGCTTTCTGCCACCGTAGTATTCTCCCAGCATTGCCTGCATTTCTTCCATATGAGCCACTAGAGACCCTGATCATCAGTGTTTCCCAACTGAGCTGTACCTCAGTGTGCCTGCACCCGTGACTCTCCTGAATGTCCTTCCTTCTCCCCTTTGAGACAATGTCTAGAGGTCCAGAATTCAGCAGGGGCCTCATCTCTTCCTGGTGTTTCTCAAGGACGGCTAAGTTAAAGCCTTCGCTAGTACAGTTCTAACAGCCTCCTAACATTTTCATCCCAGGAGTCAGGAGTTACTCTCTAGACTGAGAGTTCGGTGAAGACAAGGACCGTGCACCCTGACTTTGCACTGGTCAGTGTGTCACAAAGGATGGAAGACCAGGTTCCCTCTATTCCTTATTCTTTTCTGCTCTTCCTTCCTGTGTTCTGTTTTATTTCCACATTGTAAGTAAATCTCTGCAAATTTACAGCAACTATGAGTTTGTACCTACTAATTGGAGTTTTCTTAGCTCTGCAAATTTTAGAAAATGGATTTTGAACCTTAGCAAACAAACTGAAAAAGTTTAAACATTTGTCCATGATGTGGCAACTGCCGTGAGTCCATCTGTGAGGTTAGCGCCCTTCTCTGTTGAAGAATGGGAGGCCCGACACTAACCACTTACACCTGTTCTACCAAGGTGCCACTTCACTGTACTTTCTCAAATTCGTCCTTCTCCCAAAATGTTCCACATGGGAGCCATACAAGTTTTTACAAGCTTGATTTAGCCAAAATGCCTTTTACAGAGACGTTATGAAATAAGGAAGATAAAGTTTCTACCTCACTGGCTGGCTATAGTGGGTGCTCATGAATGCTGTCGACTCTGCAGCCTCCCTCTGGAGCTTCCGCAGGGACCTTGAAGACCCATTTTTACTTGAGATTTCAGGATCAAAGAATGAATAGGACTAGGTCTCAACAGCTGGACTCAGTCACAAATGTACAGGTCCTCTTCCCAGATGCCAGAGCATCCGTCCTCTTCTCTGAGCCTGACCTGTCTGAGTGACAGAGCATTTAGAAGCCATGACTGCAGTCCACGTTGACTTTGGAGCTCATTCTGTGTGAGACATCATGCCCAGCTGCTGCCAAAGTCATCTGAGATTCCTTCCCAGAACCCTGGATCCTGTCTTCATCTCCCATTGCTTGAAGGAGGCAGGGCAGGGGCTGGTTTCCAGACCTTTGTAGTAGGGATAGGAGATGTGAGCATCCATTCTGAGAAGACAAGCAAGTGCAAGAGGGAGGTCACGGTGGCAGCCAGTGTGTTCACCTTAAGATGCTTATCGACAACCGCCTAGCCCCAATCTGAGTTTGTATGACAAGAGTTAATCCAAGACAACCAGGTTAATTAGTGCTGATGTAATAGAAAAATAGCTCCAAGCTCACTTTCTTTCTGGACTGGAAAAGCAAGTAGGTTTGGCTCTGTGAAGCACATTGCTGCTGAGTCCCTGTTTAAAACTGATTCTGTCCCACAGTCCCAGACTCTCCATTCCCTACAGCAGCTTTTCTTACAACCATGAAAGCTGCTTACAGAACAGCTTTGCTTCTAAGCATTTTAGAGGTCAATGGAATTGAGGAAAGTGACCCCATGTGTCTGAGTCCACAATCCATTTTGGGACTCTTCTTACCCGAGGAAACACAAAGAGTGATTGTTTTCACCACAGTCTTTGCAAGTTAGTCACAGCAAGTCTGCAGTTACATGCCCTGAGGCTGATACCCTCATAGATCCAGTAGCTACAGGTTGGTGGTGCTGGCTTGAGAGTTTAAAAAAGAAAAGGCTGCTTAATTTTCCCTCTCTTTCAGGAGCACCTGAAGGCCCTTGATGATGAAGTCAATGCTCTTTTGGACAACATGTTTGGACCAAGAGGTGAGTGGGCTGCTTGGAAACATACAGGGAGAATGCCATTTACATGGAGGAAAGGATAGTTGTCCCTGGGGTTCTGAGAACAGTACAATGCCTATCCTTATGGACTGTAAACTGCCTTGTACTAGGTGCTCCTTTCCCAACATGGCAGAAGCCCCCTTTCTTCTGCCCCACTGTCTCCTGGGATGAGGGGCAGATGAAATGCAATGTTTTCCTCCAAGGTATCAGCTGTGAAGCCTAGTAGTCCCTTTGCTCTCATCACCCATCAGCCTCTAGTCACAGTCTGATTTCCTCATTCACATGGATAAAGCCACTCCAGACATCTTCTGACTCTTCAAATACATAAATTTGTTTTATTTGCTATTTCCCTATGCTTTGGAATTTCTCTCTGCTATGTCTCCCGCTCTCCCCTTCTGGTCAGTTCCTACTATTGCAGATGCCAGCTGAAAGAGACCAGTCTTTCTTGGATGGCTTCCTCTCTATTGCACTTCATGACTCCTGTCTCCTCATTTCTCTCCTGCACAGGCTTCCCAATGGCCACTTGTCTGTCTATTGAGAACAGGAGCCATGACTTGACTGTCCATTTATTGCTAGGGTGTAAACAGCTCTGGGAACAGAGGAACTGATTATTTTTGACTAGATGAAGTCTAGACAGAGGTTTTGCTTCACTTGAGCCTGGTTGTGGGAAATCCTTTGTTCCTTACGACTGTGAAGACAAGAGGGGAGACCGAGGTTTTCCTTCTCACAACTTTATACAAACTTGGAGATTATTTGGACCATTCCCCAGTTTCAGATGAGACAGTGAAACCTGTTGGAAGTGAATGATTTTTGTTGTTTTAATAGAAACTGTGTAGTTTGAGGGGGTTCTCTACTCTTTCCCCTTGATGAGCCATTGTGGTAGGCCAGTGTGTCTGTCTGGAACCTCTGCCCTCCCTGCTTGTACTTCTAGTGAAGTGGGGGAGGAATTAGCCCAGATTGGAGAGCATAGCTCTTGCAGAGGCAGGATGCCGCAGGATGCCACAAGCGCTGTGCTTTCTTGGGACCATGGCTTTCTGTTTGATTCCTTCAGCAGAGAGTTAAACATTGATCTCTGAACTAAGCTCACGCTGAACTTTGCTGTCACTATCGGTGGGCACTGGAGTTAATGTAAACATGGGGTCATGTGGAGGAAAGGATTGCAGTGGTTTGCCCTGCTCCATAGCAGGGAGAGTATAACATTCACAATCTGATCACTGAATTGTTACTACAGTCACACCAAGAATTCTTGTCCCTTCCTTAAAGTGTGTGCCACGCCTAGTGACTTGAGAGGCATCTGCAGCTTTTTCTGATCTTGTGCGCACCTTATCAGTACACTGCCGGTTGTGCCAGACACAGACAAAGAGTAACACTAATCAAGTCCCGCAGAGACAACAGAGTAAACACTTGCCCCATGTTTTTGCTGCAGCAGTTATGATCACCTTTACCTGTAGCATGCTTGGATAGCATGCACTTAAGCTTGCTTAACTCAGCATTGTATTGTTCTACTGTGCATGAGTTCGTGTGTGCGTGCGTGTGTGCATATATGTATGTGTGTGTGTGAAGTATCTCTATCTGAAGCTTTGTTCCTGCAGTTTCTGTCACCCACAATCTGCTATGGTCCCAAAATATTTTAGTGAAAAATTTCACAAGGAAATAATTGTACATTTAAAACTACATACTGCTTTCAGGAGCATGTTGTACTCTGTCCATTCTGGAACTTGAATTATCCTTTTGTCCAGTGTATCCATGCTATGCTTACGACCCACTACCCTTTTGGTTGTCAAGACCACAGTAGCATAGGGTTTGTATCAAAGTAACCTGTTTTTACTTAGCAATACTAGCGATTTGGTTACTACAAGGAAAAAACATGAAGTGAAAATGTGGAAGTTCCCACCTTATTAAGAAAAATTCCAATGCCGAGTTTGCTGAGGTCTAAAGAACCAGGCAGTCAGTGAATTTGTTCAGGGAAAGAAAAGCAACTGGTGCCAGTTATGTCGAGTGCTCAGTGAGGGCAGGAATCACAGCGTTCACTGGGGTCCTTAGGACATCCATCTTGCATGAGGGTGCCCACTGCGCAGCCTGTTGTCAGTATCCCTAACTGCGTGGGAGCATCACTCCTTGGGCTCCTCATCATAAGCCTTTCTTTCCAGATCCTCGCGTTCGAGGGTGGTTCCTGTTGGACTCTTACCTTCCGACCTTTATCCTTACCATCACATATCTGCTATCAATATGGCTGGGTAACAAATACATGAAGAACAGGCCTGCTCTTTCTCTCAGGGGAATCCTCACCTTGTATAACCTTGGAATCACATTTCTCTCTGCTTATATGCTGGTGGAGGTAAGTGTCACTGCACTTTAGCTTAACTCAGCAACTACTTGAGTTTGAGAACTTGTCAGCTGTGACTTCCAGTGCCGTCAAGGTAGCAGTTAGTGTGGCAACACTCTAAGAACCGGAGAAAGTTGTTCACACACTGATACTCTTCCTGACCAGTCTCAGAAGCCCTGGTTTCTGTCTTGAGTTGGGGCCTGTTTCTGTGTTCCTTAGCCAAATTAAGACTAGACTCATGATTTAGCTTGAAGCAGCTTTGGAAGGTCATATCTTACTCTTCTTCTCTTACATACTGTATGTTCCTAATAGGAGGGTTGCTCTATTTTAAAAGTCAAACTCCACATGCACTTTATGTACAGAGGTGCGGAGTCCTACCAGCCTCTGGAATGTGCTGGCAAGCCTGAGCTGACCCTAGTCGGCTCTAGCTGCCTACCAGGCCTTCATCCTTTAGCTGCGTCCCATCCTGGAAAGCACCAACACACAGGTAGAAGTTCTGGCTGCTTTGCCAATACAACCAGGAGTTTTGTTGTAATACAGGGAGAAATTTAAAAGTACTTAACTTGCTAAAGAGCAGAAAGGGGAGAGGCAATCATTTTTAAGGAAAAACTAGCATAAAGCCATCGATAAGGGTTATAAATGGCTAGTCCTAGCAACTAGGACTTTTCTACTATTCATGAATTTTAGACAAGAGTAAATTCTTATCTTAAAATGCAGGTTTCTCACTGTGACCTTATTTTGTGCATTAGCTAATCTGTATCATTTTAACAATGGGCACCAGGTGCTATAAGTGACCAAAATGAAGCACTGCTGGGTGGAGTTTGGGGGAGGAAAACCATGTAAACAGTTTCAGTGTCTCATTACACAGGCGACCACCGAGTTTTCTGACACCAAAAGTACAGTTTTACGTTCTTTATTAAAGTGTATTTAGCATGATAGGTTTGAGCTAGTCAGATAAAGCGATGGATTTAGTTTGTTTTTTTTTTTCTTTTTTTTTCTTGACACAGGCTTTTTTTTTTTATGTAGCTCTGGCTATGCTGGAACCCACTGTGTAAACCAGGTTGAACTCAACAGAGATTCATATTCCTCTGCCTCCTGAATGCTGGGAATGAAGGTGTGTGTCACCATGCCAGGCTAGAATTAGTTTCTTTACATGGCTGAAGGGAAGGAGCACCTCCCTTGATCTGGAGCAAGCAGAGTCCTGTGGGAGGTCGGGCAAACAACATTGCTGGCTGCAGCTGCAAGTAGCTTGGGTTAAGGTGGGAAGGAAGGGCTGAAGCCAATGGACTCTAGGTGAGTTTTGGAGTTACTAAGTCCATATCAGCTTAAGCTTAATCGGATTTGACAACCTTGTTTAATTTTCTTCAGTACAAAGGTTAGATTGGATGGGCTCTGGTACCCAACCCAGTTAGAGGATTATGCGTAACCCAGGAGGCAGCTTCCTGAGGCCTGCTGCTTAATTCTGCCACACAGTTCCTTAGTGGTTAGATAGGTACAACAGGATTGACAGTCTAAAAACATCTGGCTAACACAGGACATGTCCTAGACAAACCGAATGCCTCTGTTCACGCTAAGCGTTTACCCCACACTGCATTGTTAGTGTAGAAAGCGCATACTTAACCCTTCAGCTCAGTTTTATTCTTCAGGTGTTTTAAATATTCGTGTGCAGTGTGGCTTTCTCGGTATGAAAACTGCACCGGTTTACACACACAGGCACACACAGGCATATATGTGCTTGTGGGTCCCAGGTCTCCATGATGCCACAGGTGGACATCAGGGGACAGGGACATAAAGCCCGGAAAGCTTCTGGGGACCTGATTCACAAGCACATTACCTGAAGGTGGTTTTGTCAGATGTGAGGACACCAACCACATCAGACCTGTGAAGAAGAGACCAAGGTTCCAAACAACAGGATCGTTAAGGCAGAAGAAAATTCTAGGTCTCTTCCTGGAAAAACCTTATATCCTAGAATTTAAAATTATTACAGCCAGAGAGCTGCTTCTATATAGAATTTTCAATGAAGAATTTAATAGACTTGTTTTTCATGTCATAGGTGGAACAGAAAAGACTGAGTTAGAAACTGAACTGTAGTGATGTTTCTGCCACCCCTTGGCTGTGCAGCCCTGTGCCCATCACTTACTCATCACTGGTACTCACTGTCCCTGGGGAAGGAACAAGGATGGTTCAATGATGGGCTTTTGAAAAGGCAGCCTTTTATTAGAGAAGAGCAGGGAATATAGGTTTCAGTTATGCAAATTTGATTATCAAGTAGCACAGATACAGTGAAGAAAATGTTAAGTTTCTGACCCCTTTTAATACCTGTATAATTGTAATGTACATTCCATAAAATTATTGAAACCAGAGGTATTTTAGTGTAGTTTTCTCACATTTGTTTATACTTCTGTGTCACAGAGAAAAGCTAAATAATTCTTACTAAAGTGAACAATCTTCATCCTTCTGGGTGATCTGAGTGGACAGAAAACTACATTAAGGGATAAATGCAGTCATCGCTCAGCAGCGGGAGTTAACCCATTGCTGGTGCTTCAGGATGAGACCGGGTCAGACTGTGGGATGCTTCTGCCCCGACTCTGAGGGGGAGCTGGCGGCACGTGTTATGCACCCCGTCACCCTCTTGTGTTTCTCTGTCTTGGCAGCTTATCCTCTCCAGCTGGGAAGGAGGCTACAACTTGCAGTGTCAGAACCTAGACAGTGCAGGAGAAGGTGACATCCGGGTAAGCCTGAGAAGTGCTTCCACTGAAAAGGAGCAGTCTTTCCCTTTTACCTCTTGTCGGGATTAAAGGAAGAGATTTTGGCTCTGATGGACTTAGAGACACACGTCTTAGGGACCAGGGGATGAACCATGCACGTCCCTGTAATGGATGCCTCTCACAGATATAGAGAGATCCCAAAATAGATCCCATCATACCCTCAGAACTGTCTCTGCTGCCTCAGGAAATATTGAAGTGAAAACCAGCCACTTGCAGACTTTGTATGAGGAATGCCCTTTTATGAGGAAGGGTGTGTGTTTTCTTTCCTTTCTAAAGGAGAAATGGTGGTAGGAGAAACGAGCAGCTAGTTAAAATGGCCTCCTTTGTGGAAGTAGCAGTCGAGAAGAATAAGATGGAAGCTACAGTGCTCTCAGCGAGCCTTGTGCTGTGTTTGATTTGGAATCGTCCCTTTATGTAAACTGTAAAACAAAATTAAGTTTTAAAGGGAAGCAAGGCAAGGTAAATGAACTCACACGCACAGAAAGGCACTCGACAGAAATTACCACAGGGAGAGGATAACCACAGCGGACAGATAGCCATGGTGAGCAGCATCTTAGCAGAATTCTTTGCTGCTGTTGCTTATGAATAAAAATGCATTGCTGCTTTCAGACATCTGTGGGAAACTGCAGGATAAATTTCTGTTTTTCAAAGTAGTGAAAACTAAACCCACTAGTCAAAGATGCAAACTCGAAATGTCACAGTTCATTTCATGGAAGGGGTCATATTTCATAGCTTTGTCTACAGAAAAGGCCTCTGCAGTCTGTGACAGCCCAGGGCACTGAGCTTGACTTTACAGAGCTGCTATCTACCAAAAGGGACAAGGGTTCTTAGGGCCATGGCCAGTTCCAGGTTTGAGTCAGACAATGTGCTGAAAACAACTCTAGGATGTCCTGTGACCTCAGCAAAGGAATACACATTGGGGCCAGGCATGGTTACAGGACCCATCTTGAAAAGAGATTAAACCTTAAGAAGAGAAAGACTCTCACTCTTAGCTCTTAAAGTTGATACACCACCACATCATTGCAGGGAAAAAATTAAGGCAAAGAATTAAACATACATCTTATTTCCAAATACACAAGGAGGGAAACTCCAGGTAGGAAAGAAATGTGTAAGTCACAGTAAAATCAGAAGATCATTTTGCATCTCCCAAAGATACAATGCATCCCCTTGTAACAAGAGAGCATCCACTTCTGCTGTGAAACTCTGGTGGAGTCACAGCATCACTGGGCGTTCAGAGCTCTGACTGTAGAGGTCTAGTTAAGGCAACCTGGCTCTGTAAATGGTTCTGAGAAGGAGGCAGCCAGCAACATTCCCAGAAGAAGGTGGCTACTAAGAGGAGGATTGGTAAAAGGGTGGCTAAAATGTGCCAGCCCTGAGACAGGGAGAGTGTTAGACACAGGGGAGAGAGAGATTCAGGTTCCACATAGGCTGATGAGACTATTTCTGGGCTTCACAAAAGCCTCGCAGGATGCTGGCGGAGGGTAGTGGAGGATTCTGTCCTAAGGTGGGGAACAGTGGACTTGGGGGTGTGCAGGAGTAGCTTGATTGGACGCATGTTTGGGAAAGACCCCATCCTCTAGTAGAGAGGGGTGGAGTACATGGAGTCAGAAGGGACAGGAGGGAAAGATAGCAGGTGGGCAGTGCTCTCCCGGGAACAGTGGGCGGCAGACTGCCGCTGTGGAGCAGAGCTGTGCTACACTGGCTCCTTTCTCCCTCCCTGAACGTGCTATAGGTAGCCAAGGTCTTGTGGTGGTACTACTTCTCCAAACTAGTGGAATTCCTGGACACGATTTTCTTTGTTCTTCGAAAGAAGACAAGCCAGATCACCTTTCTTCACGTCTATCACCATGCCTCCATGTTCAACATCTGGTGGTGTGTTTTGAACTGGATACCTTGTGGTCAAAGTAAGTAATTTTGGTGACTCTTGGTTCTGTGGACTGAGTCTCATGAGACCACTAGTGCACCTCTGGGGCCCCCAGGATGTGCTGATTAGGAGAGATGGGAACCCTTAAAGCCATGTTCTTGTCACCACAGGAAGCCCATTTGCCAGCGGCTATTTGGTTTCTGGACTTTAACGTTGGAAAAATCTGAGCAGAACCTTAAGTTTAAAAATTTGTTTATATACCATCTACCAATTGTCATGGGCAGAGAGGCACATAGAAGGCAGGACTTGCCCCTTGAGGCAACAGCTGTCACAGCCATCACCTCACTGTGACTCACAGAAATCATTTCTGTGCTATGGATTCTTCACTTCACATTCTGGAAAATTAAGACATCTTTGTGTGACCCACCAAACCACTAGTGTTCAACTTTAAAAAAAAAAAAAAAGTCAGGCACGATGTCACATCCCTGTAATTTCAACACCCAGGGAGGCAGAGGCAGGTGGATCTCTTTGAGTTTGGGCCAGCCTGGTCTACAAAGCAAGTCTAGGACAGCCAAGGCTACACAGAGAAACCCTGTCTCAAAAAAAACCAGGATGTGGTGGTGCACACCTACGGTCCTAGCACTTGGCAGGCTGGGTAGGAGCTGCTGCATCACGGCAAACCCCTGTCTCAAAACCCATGTTCATGCCTGCCCAAATACATGCACACACGTTATAACAAACTAGTGCGCTCGTCTATATCACGTCCTTTGCATGAAGCAAGAGCTTCATGAGGTAGTGCTGACCCTAGCCTTTCATGGTATCTTGTTTGAGTCCTATTTTACTTTCACTGTAAGCACCTGGTGGCATCACCCTGCAATGGCTTCACAGCTCACAGGGAGTGGGGTGCTTACTTACATAAGTATTCTGGCTGTCAAGGTGCAAGTGGAAACTCCAGTGCAAGGAACGAAACTGCACAAAGACAGATGGCCTTCACACTTAGATGGCAGACTCACTGTAGAAGTTCAGTGCTAAGGAAGGTGAGTGAGTGTCAAAGGAGCATTGCCACAGCTGAGGGGGCTCAAAATTTACATTGCACTGTGCAGAGGTGGTCCTGTGAACATTTATACTGGATCTCCAAGATGATTACAAAAATTTTTATGTATAGAGCTACTCAGAAAGAAACCAGATGGGCAAATATCACTCATCTTGCAGTGCTGAGAGCTCCCAAAGTGTGTGTTTCCATAGAAATCCAAGCATCATATCACATTCTGGCCAGAATGTGCCGAGTGCTTACTGTATGAATCTTGCTGCTCCTTTTGCTTGCCAGTTACCTAGGTTATTAACGTGGGGTGAGAAATCGGGGCTAAAAAATTTAAATCAACTCAGTAGCAGTAGGCAGTGCTCTTTAGCTCATACAGCAGTCCACCACAGCTTTGCGTGGTCTCAAAAGGAGAAAATAGCTTACCGCTAGGCGCAAGAGGCTCTGTCACGAAGATTCTGCCGCCAGACTTGAGCCCACCTTTCTCTGCCTCACTGGTTAGCTGGGAAGAATAAGCCCTTTGCAGACACAAAGCAGCCGAGCACCTCTCCTGGTTCACACCTCCGTCTAGGAGGTTTTACTGAAGCTCAGAGAGACAGCGGCAGTTGATGCTCTATGTGAATGCTGTTGCCTGTCAGGATACAGGGAGCATCACGTGAGGAGGAGGCACGAGCACCTCGCTGTCTGGGAATACTAACTCAGGTCCTCCACTGCCGCAGGCTTCTTTGGACCAACCCTGAACAGTTTCATCCACATCCTCATGTACTCCTACTATGGGCTCTCCGTGTTCCCGTCCATGCACAAGTACCTTTGGTGGAAGAAGTACCTCACGCAGGCTCAGCTGGTATGTCGTCCTTCCTTTGCTTCTCCATGTGGCCCACACGCAATGACGGCACAGGCCTCTCTGGCCTCTCTGTGATGAGGCTGCCCGTTCATCTTTATCATGGCCTTGAAGAACCGTACTCCGGCCACTATCATATCTATTGTGTATTCAGTTAGCTTCTAATGGGAATTTTTTTTGTTTTAAAGATACATGAATACTTTTCAACCAATGCACACTTTTTAGACTAATGTACAAGTTATATAATTTTAATCAACATCATGTTAACTGCTACTTTTCCATAAGAAAACAGACAAATTTACATACACATAATTTCAAATGAAATTTCTAGTCAGGATAGTGCATATCCAAGGCATCTTTCTTGATTTGCTTCTGTAGAAAGACGATAGCAGGACAGTAGCCATGCGTGACTGACGGAGCCCACCTGCCCGTGGGTCTGTTCTCACCTGCAGCCCTCTCTGCCTTCTAGGTGCAGTTTGTACTCACCATCACGCACACGCTGAGCGCTGTGGTGAAGCCCTGCGGCTTCCCCTTTGGTTGTCTTATCTTCCAGTCCTCCTACATGATGACGTTGGTCATCCTCTTCTTAAACTTCTACATTCAGGTAAGTAAGGGGACAAACTGTCCCAGCTCACGGAGTGTTTACGATAACGGGATGCAAATGAGGAAGGAAAGCACCTCCTAACTCCCCCCCCCCCCCATCCTCCTGCTCCGAGAACAACCCACCAACAGTCCAATTGGCCTCTGCGGAGTGAGAGCTTGTTCAGAAAGGCTGAGTTGTGCCATGTCTACCTGTGCATTTGCACCATACTGCCCAAATCTGACATCTGACAGCTCAACAGGCGTGACCCGGAGCCAGGGAGCTCAAACGGAGAAAGGCTTGGGAACGATGGAGTTTAATAATGAGTTCAGGAAGCCTCCATCGCTGCTCTGAGGTTTGGAGGCAGCGTTCATGTGGGAAAATTCCTTTAAGGCAAACCAGTGTGGAAAGGGCATGCTGGCTCTTTCTTAGTCAACTGACATTTTCTTTTCAATTAACAATTTAAATGAGAGGGGCCTTCAAACTGACTGTTATATAAGAGTCCATGCAGGCTGTGCTAGCAAAGGTGCTTGTGGATTTTAAATTGCTGGGCCAGAGAAATGGAAAGGCTGCTTTAAAAAAAAAAAAAAAAGTAATTTATATTCAAACAGTGCTTTTGAAATTCTGTTCGAATGTATTTTCTTATCCAGACAATTGCTCTTTTTAGTTTTTGCTCCATAGTGGTTTTATGGGAAGAACCACTGTGGAGACTGGACCTTTGACAGCCTTTCAGACTTTGTATTTCTGAAGTGAGTGCACTGGCTGGCCTTTGCCTCTTGCAGCAAAGTAGTTTCCTCTGAGGATGTCTAAAGAAAGAACCATCAGTGGAACCAAACAGAGCCAAACATGCACACCAGAGCATGCCAGGAATGGCACTGTAGCCCGGCTGTGTAGAGTAGCTACAAAACCTGTCTCTACCCATTCTGGTCCTGGCCTTTGTTAATGCCATCATTGCTATTTAAGAAGTGAAAATGCTGTTAATCCCAGCAGCGAGAAAGTGGAGACAGGAAGATCAAGAGTTCATGGTGACTGGGGGTTACAGAGCAAGTTGTGTTTCATCAGAATGACAGAGAGACATACAAGCTGGAGTAGAGTTTTGCGGCAGATGAAATAATTAACATGCATTAGACCCTCTTGCTATCCCCAGCACTAAAGAGAACATTTAAAGTCCTGCCTGAATCAGGAGATGTAATTAAATTGCAATCTCAAAATTTAAAAAAAAAAAAAAAACTCCTTTTATCTTGAGTTTTAAACAGAGTTATATTTTTCAAATGGATAACTAATGTAAGCTTCTTTGGATGCTAAGCAAATTCTGATGTAACACAGATAAAGTGAAATAGCCTTTACTGACATTCATGTATTTTTCTTGGTTCTTACCTGAGGTTTGTAGCCAGGTACAAAGCCGGAGTGGGGAGGAATTCAAGACAGGGTTTCTCTGTGTAGCTCTGGCTGTCCTGGAACTCACTCTATAGACCAAACTGGCCTTGAACTCACAGAGATCCACCTGCCTCTGCCTCCTCAATGCTGGGATTACAGGCATGTGCCACCACTGCCTAGCTCAAACATAAATTTCTATTAGAAGGTCTCGTGCCAAGGAAAATTATGCAGTGCTTTAAACTACATGCTATGCCAGAGGTTAGAGACAAGGCCTTATTAAAATGTCTTGCTGCTTTTTCTCCTTTCTACACTCTGACAGACATACCGAAAAAAGCCAGTGAAAAAAGAGATGCAAGAGCACCCTGCAGAGAAAGAAGTGAAGAATGGTTTCCCCAAAGCCCATTTCACTACAGCTAATGGCATGATGAACAAGAAGACACAGTAAAATGAAGTGACAGGAAAGCATAAACACTGCGGCAGCCTAACAGATGAGCTTGTTTTAAAGCAAAGACTGAATTGAAAGTTGTATGTTTTAGCATAAACTAATTCTTTTTGAGTTTGTAAATCATTTGTACCCAGAATGTATTATAATATATTGCTATTAGGTTACTCTATTAACTGAAGCAGTGCCGACCTCTACAAACCTCAGAACAGGTGCACAGTCCTCTCCTGAGCTCTTCGTAAAGCCTTATTCGCACAGAAAACCAGGAGAAACGGGCTTTGTTTTTTTGTGGCAAGTCTTCAGAGTTAATTTTCTTTAGATGAAATATGTAAAAATGTTAATTATATTGTGAATGTCAGGGTCTGTTCTAGTCCGTGTCAAGCAATAACTGTGAGTACATATATTGCTCAGTCCACTGTCCCTCACGGCATCAGCCCCAGGAAGCATGTAAATGGGATCCTTAACAAGATAGAATCTAGAAAAACTCCTCCCTCTCTCAAGCCAAGAGTCTCATCTGCTACATTTTTAACCACCCCTGACTCTAAACTTAGTGACGTGGTAACAAAATTCATTAATCGTCAACATAGTTTGAGGATTAGTCATTCCATGAAAGAGCAGCTTCTTGAGGTGGGTGTGGTGTCACGATCAGTGATCCCAGTATTTGGGTATTGGGACAGCCTGGGGGTACACAGGCATAAGACCCTGTCTCAACCAGAACTTTTTGCCAAATTGTCATAACTCAGGGACTTTGGACAGGAGCTCTCTGTTTCAATTGGCTTCTTTACTCATCCCTTTCTGTCTACCTCCTGTGTTAGTCTGTATTGGTGGAGTCACACTCTCCATTTCAAAATCTAGTGTCTCCATATACCTGCCTGCCTTTTCTGAACAGAGGCTGGAGTCCAATTGCAATTCTTCTTGCCACAGAAATGCAACTGGAATACTGACAGATCATAATCAACAGAGCCCCAGGGCAAAAGAGACATCGATCGCTTTGTCAACGGTTGCTTCTGAGCCTGCTCATGAGTGCTATCCCAAGTAGTTGCCATCAATCTTCGTAAGTTGAATTTCAGGAAAGAGAAAAAAGGATGTAGCTATTTGGAAAGATTCTGTGGGTTGGGAATAAGCCATAATGATAATGTGTCTGATGCAAATAGCACATGCTCTTCCTGCTCAGAACTGTGGCCTCCACTGAGAAGCTAGTACAAAGGCAGACCAAGGCACTGGACTGCTTCCCTCTCCCCAACCTGATGGACCACCACTGGTAAACTGTACCAAGCATGAAAAAGTTCATTTCCCCAAATTTTCATAAAACACGACTCACCAACTTTGACTGTTTTCCTCCATTTTAGCAAATAGGTTGTTGGTTCATGGCACTGACATCCAGTGCATGGGCACCAGGTAGGCTTTCCTCAAGTGCCAACAGTGGTGCCTGCCCACCCCTCTCTTCCCTTTCTGGGCAAGCTCCCATTTTAACTTTTCACCGTTCACCGTTAAAAAATTATACTGACTTTTAAAACTCGTAAGTGTGCCGCCCTTCTCACTGGTGTGTCCTGTGCCATCCCCATTGTTACCGCATTGAACAGACTTTGTCTGGCAACCACCTACTCTTCAGTGTATTTTCTAAATGATTTTCTCAGACTGATCTGCTCCCAGGTGCTTTATTACCACCATCTCTCGTGACTTTAGACTCGTTGCTGTATTTCCCTTTCCCGAGAATTCATTTGAAGGGTCAGCTTTGAGTACGCTTGTTCTTCTATGACAAGACCAAAGGAACAAACTCCTTGATGAAACGGAAGGTCAGTTTTAGTTCTCAAACATGTTCCACGATCTGTTACTAAAATGAATTCTGGGTAACGCTGAGACGCAAGAGGCACCAACTTACTCTTGCTGCCAGTGAGAGGCGCTAAAGTCTCACTGTGCATCACCTTCCGTGTTGGCCGTCTTCATGGCATCACACCTGCGCAGCACAGAGGGCATCGTCGCTATGGCAGATCAACAATGGCAGCTCAAAGTACCAGCCGGCTTTAAACCTCCTAGAGCAAAGCTCAGTGCAACACCAAGCCTTAAACCACACAAGGGTTAACAAAACAGGCAGAGCTATGACGCCTGAGCTGCACAAATGTGATCTGGTAAATATTTTAACACATTTATTCTTAGCGTCAATTTCTAAAACAGAAGTTTAAGAAATTTCTATCTCTATAATCTGATTTTTTTTAAAGGTGTGTTTTCCCAAGTAAATTCCCTTTTATTCATGAGAATACAAGTACTTGGCTACTATAAAACCTTAATTTCCCCAACTTTTAAAATAAAATGGAATATTTGCTGAATGTAATTAAGCATAGAAAATGTCAACCCATCAGAGTTATATTTATACATATTGGTGGATAAGTTCCTGTCTTCCCACATTAGAGAATTATTTTTTTACAAAATGGGCAGAATAGCATTTTTATATGTTAGAGACCATTCTACTCTAGTCCTGAACATTCCTGTGTCATTTAAGAATGTCAGCAGAAGTCCCTCCTTTGGAAATTGAGAGCTTTTTGTTTTTCTTTGAAAGTACTGCATCTGAAGAACACAGCATCATGACTGGGGTGGACAGGGGGGCAGGAGCCATTTTTCATTTAGATAAAAAGCACTCTTTGTGATTGTTGTATAATAAATTGATTTTTATGCTAAAACATGTTGCAATTTTTCTTATTGGGCGCAAAGAAACTAAAACGTGAACCTGTGTGGTATTCCAAGCCCTATTATTCAGGGATTGTTTTTACAAATAAATTGATATTTTAGTGAGTAATCTTAAATTGATATTTTAGTGAGTAATCTTAGATTCTTAATTCATTCCAACAAGCAGTGGGATGTTGATGTAACATCGTTAATGCAGCATTTATAACCCAGTTAAACTATCTAAGAAGTTGGTCACTCACGAGGAAAATTTGATAGCAATCAGATAAGCAAGGCTGTAGCTACTAGAAACTACTTACTATATAATGTAACAGTATTCTATGCTGCACTGTATAGACAATAGTATATAGTAACTATACCATTCCATGCTACACTATACAATTGGGGCACATATGGCATTGGCTACCAAAACCCTGGGCACCTGGAGTGCCCTGAGAAGAAGTGGCCACTTCCTCCACCTGGCGCTGAAGGAGGGCCACAGTCTTGTGTTCTTCAGCACAGAGGCTACATTCTCCGCCATGATGAAGATCCCAAGGCAGCAGCATGAAAGAAGGCTCAAAGTCTGACCAGTCGCTTACATTCGAAGTAGAGATGGATTGGGCAGTAGAGTTAGGAAGGCAGGGCGGGCGTGGGGGTACAGAAGGAACTTGGAGTGAGTGAGGACTAGAGTTTAGTGGGAGGGCGAACAATTTAAAGAGCCTCCTTTCCCTTCCTTATTTTAAGCTGTGTGTGGGATATCACTAAAACTGTCTTAAAAATAAATGGCTAGGAAGGGTGACATATTCCTGCAATTCCAGTACAGACGAAGCTGAGGCAGGAGGATTTCTCTGAGTTAAAGCCACTACAGGAAACAATAGGTTGGTTCCTGGAGATTTTGGTTGTCTCAAAAACTATGATATAATATACCCAGTGTTTCTATGAGAAATTAGCTACTGCAAATTAAACACATAAAGTCTCTAAAAAGCTTCAGCATATGTCGAGGCTGCCTTCCAAGTCACATGACCTTCACATGTTTGAGCCCCTTGCTGAGATGTGCAAGGAAGCATTTACTCTTAATACCTTCACCTAAATACTTTTTGACCTTCAGATGTGACTTCGTCATGGGAATGAAACAGAATTCGATTTCCAACAAGGCACAAACTCTTAAAAAGTCCACAACCTTCAACAACCATGTTTCGAGTTGAGAACCAACAATCCAGACATGTTAGCCTAATGGGAGACATTGTACATCCAAACCATACCAAAGCCTTTATTGTTTGAAACCTAGTTCACTCACAGATTTCTAGAGTAACTCTGAAAATGTCATACTCAGTAAAATGTTTTATCAAATCAATGCTGTATAATGTTACATATGCTAGTAGAAACACAAAATGACCCAGATGAATATGTGACCTTAGAGGCATAGTCTCAGAACATTTAGTTATAAGCCATTAGAAATGGTTTGTACCAAGAAGGCTATCCAAAATGAGTTAATGCCTAACTTGCCTTTGGTGCTTGAGTTCAAATAAACAAGGAATTTTATTCCACAAGATTCCCACGATTCCCATCTATGTAGCCATGGGGATGTCATCACCCACGGTGGGCTGAGACTTTTCAGCCATACAGCTATGTTGAGGTCACCCATTTACCTGACCATTTCCCCGAGGAAAGACTGCATGCCTGAGAGAGTTGAGTCTCATCTGTCACCCAGGTGGGGGCTGCCCATCTGTAAGTCTCCAGTCCTGCCTTGCCAAGAAGATCTCTACCCCCCTGTGTCAATGCAATGAGGTGTGTCCAAGAGGCTGCAGCCTCAAACGCTTTGCTGAGCACCAAAGAGATGAAGTCCAGGCTGTTACCCCCTAGGCCATCAGCACATCTGCAACACTTCATACTCCACCACATTCATTACCCTGGAGAGCACAGCCCTGCCCATCACCCTGTGTGGTTAATGTCTCCAGGACACATATGTTCCACCCATCAGGCCAGTCAGAACAGAGCACTCAGGAGGCTCTGGCTCAACCCATTGCCCAGGTGAGTTCAGTGGTGCCACAAGCTCCACTGGCCTTCCCTCCCATCCTGCCAGGAATGACAATAACCTAGTACATTACCAACAGTTTAAACACTTGCTGAAAACAAAATCAGTTAAAATAAACAAAACATAATAAATTCAACAAATGACCCAGCTCCCTACACCAAAACACAAGTATAAAAAAAAAAAAATCTAACTCCTTCCAAAATTAATCCTAGAGCAATGGCCTCCAGTGCTAACGAATTAGATGGAATCCCAACAAAAGAGCTTAAAAGGATAACTATGTGCAAAGAATGAAAGAAAAACTCTTGTACCCCCAAGGAAACACATACACTGAGTGAAATAGGAAGGCTGGCATACGATGTGAAAGAGGAAATCAAAAGGAAGATGGAAATCAAACCAAAATAGTGAAAATGAGTCAAAAATTTTGTGTAAAGCTTCACCAATAGGCTAGATCAAGGGGAATATAAAATAGATGGGCTTGAAAATGAAGTGGGGGATTGGGACATTCAGGACAGAGATTAATTGGTCAAGAGGCATGGCCAAGACTTGTAAGACACAGAGAATACTTCAATGACCACACCATTGACATAAAGAAAAGTGAATTCCCTTCTAAAGGAATAGCAAATATTTTAAATGAAGCCACAGCAGAAATCTCCTTAAGTTAGGAAAAACAAAACAAAATGCCTATGCAGATACTGGAGGCATTCAGAACAGAAACAGATAAAACCAGAAAAGGACTTCCTCTCTTCATAATTTACTCACTAAATACTTAGAACAAAGAAAGTGTAGTGATAGTGGCCAGAGAGAGAGGCAGCAGCTAACCTGAGAGAGGTAGGCCTATCAGAATAGCCGTGACTCTTAGCTGACACCAGGAAAGTTGCAAGTGGGCAGGGAGGCGTTTGGGACATTGCAGGAGTGGGGAGGCCCTTGAAACGATTTTCCATTTTTGAAAGACAACGAGTGCCAATACAGACCGCTATACGCAGCAAAGCTGTCCGTCGTAGGTAAAGGAGAAAGAGAACCTTTCCATGAAAAAATAGGCTAAGCAGATGGGTTACCTCCCAATGCCTGACAGCATGACTGATCTACCCTTCTAGCAGGCCCCTGGGGGGCTGGAGCCGGGGATACTGAGAATATGTTAACTTTTAAAAAGGTGTTTTGTTTTTTTTCCAAAAAGAAAAAAGGGACTGAAGGAATGTATAACCACTAAGACCACTAAGACAGCCCTATGGTAAGAGGCTTAAGAGGCTTGATGGAATTTTTTTTTTTTTTTTTTACTGCAGAGAAAAGACAAATACATCCATAAGGTCACAGGGAGGAATGAACTGCTCTTGAATAAAAAGCAAAGAGGAATAGAAAAACACCAAATAACACAACGCTAAGAAAATGATAGGAAATTATACACACCTTTCCATAACTCTAAATATCAATGGTTTCAATTGTCCAGTCTGGGCCTGGGAAGATGGCTCTGTGGCTAAAGTAAAGTGGAACCAGCATGAGGAGCTGAGTTTAGAACCTCAGAACCCCTTTAAAGCCACACACAGTGGTAACTTTAACCCTATCCCTGGGAGTGGAGACAGACAGACCTCTTGGAAGCTCTCACAGCTCTCATGCAGTTGCCTCTCACTTTGCTGCTCAGAAGCTTTTTTAATTTCCTGAAGTGCTGTCAATCAGAAAGAGATGCCGTCTCAAGCAACAAAGCACAGACGTGATGGAGGAAAAGAGGAACAAAGACATCTCCACGTCAGCCTCTGGCTTGCGTGGTGTAAGGATTCAGTCTCACCTCCTTTGTTCCAGGAACTCGCTAGGAAAGCTGAGTCCACATCCATTCCTGACTCCACTGGCAATTCCACGCTACTCTTCTCATTGTGTCTGAACACTGAGAGTGCGTGAGGAAGCACAGATGGCTGTGAGGACCAGGTGGCTTAGAGAGGAGGAGACACAGTGTGAGTGGACAGCAGGTAAGGCCCTGGATCAAGTTACCCCAGGAAATAAACTCAGAACATGCTCCTCTGCATAATCGCTTTCATCATTTATAGTCTCAAACCTCACACAGAGGAAATCCAGGAGAGCCTTGGGCCTTGGAAAGGGTTGTCCTCAACTCTCTTCTTGCCACAGAACGGGGATGGTGCGGGATCTGGGGATAGGAGGGTTTACAGACAGAGCCAGGTCCTCCGAGCTGGACTGGTGGGCCTACATTCACACGTTCAAAAGCCGGGAGCTGTGATGCTACAGGCCAAGCAGTGAGCGGAGCCACCAGCACAGAACAGATACTTACAAAAGCTGCTGTGGAAGATGGAAGGTGCACGTGGAAGCTGTTTCCCCGGCTATGTGCATACGTGTTTAACTCACAATTGATCTCAGCAGAACGGCGTTCCCTTGAGGGCGGGCCAGCGTCAACGCTGCACTTTCGACCAAGCTCAGACTCTGTGGACTCTTTCTCAGACATGTTCCCCAGTGCTCAGGCTTTTATGTTGTCATAGTTTGTCTATATGCCTCCTCTAAATCCGCTCTTTAACTCACCTACCGTCCTCGCTCCTGCGTGTCTCCCATCAGTCCTGTTACGGGTTGAGTCTCAAATGTTCCTGAACCCTCATGTTTTGAACACCGGTCTTCTGGCTGGTGGCATCATGTAAGGGCTATGGTTCTTAACCTGTGGGTCATGACCCCTGTGAGGCTGCACCATCCCTTTTCCCAGGGGTCACCTAAGACCATTGGAAAACACAGATATTTACATTAGAAATCACAACATAGCAATATTATAATAGTCATATTATGAACTAGTAATGAAAATAATTTTACAGTTGGGGTCACCCATAACATGAGGAACCACATTAAAGGGTTGCAGCAGCAGGAGGGTTGGGAACCACTGTTTTGGGGGATTGTGGTACCTTTAAGAGATGGGGACCAATCTGACAGAAGCCACTAGAGCCGGACCTTTGAGGTCAGGACTGATGGCCCATGATTCTAGATGGCATCTACTCTTATATCCAAGAAGAAAGGACGCTCTCCCCACTATGCCAGACTGAACCCTCTTAAAGCAATAGTTCAAGTTAACCTTGCTGTTGCCATGCACTCTGCTCACAGCAGCGCAGAGCGCGCTAACGCACTCAGTAAGCTATTTGCAGTTAAAGCCTTCACGGCGGCGATGGCCTCTTCCAGTATACTGGATTCCACTGCACACATCTTTTCCTCCTAAGCCACGGTGTTAACTTCATCATCCTGTAGCAAATGTTCTCAACTACAGAAGCGGGCCTTCTACTCACGTGTGTAAAGGATGGTTAGCATGGGCTAACATCATTCCCTACAAACTCTGTAGTTTTACGGCCTGGAACAAATTCTTAAGTTTTTTTTTTTTTCCTGCCATGGTTCCTATGGCCATATTTATCTCTGTCTTAAGAAAACCATCCTCGGGCTGGAGAGATGGCTCAGAGGTTAAGAGCGCTGGCTCTTCTTCCAGAGGTCCTGAGTTCAATTCCCAGCAACCACATGGTGGCTCACAGCCATCTATAATAAGACCTGGTGCCCTCATCTGGTGTGCAGGTGCACATTCAGACAGAACATTGTATACAAAATAATAAATAAAGAAATCTTAAAGAAAACCATCCTAATCCTAAAGGATCTATTTCAAACAAAGGATCTATTCCCTCCCCCCTCAGGAAGCCATTCCTGATTATGCAGTAAAAACGACACTTTCCTTGTAACTTTGGCTGTTATATCTGATGATGTGTGCCCTCCCTAGATAAGCCCTCAGCGCCGACAGGCACATCTTATTTCTTATTATACAGTCTAGCTTCTTCCGTATTAGCTAAGGCCGAAGCTCTTCTAAAGAACAGTGTTCAAATGTGTGTTCCCTAGTTACAGGAAGCCGCATATGTTCTTTAGGCACCCATCAGCGATAACAGCGAAACCTACACAACAACACTGTGCCGTCAGACATGATGAGCCTCAAACTGGGCGTATCTAAACAAAGTGAGATCAGTTAACCTCATTAACTGATTCCCTATGAAAGATTTTATTTTTGTGCGTGCGTGTGTGTGTGTGTGTGTGTGTGTGTGTGCGCACGCGCGCGCATGCGTGCGTGCTCTGATAAGCAAAAACTTATGGCGAAATGTACTAAAGCACACTTTATTAAAAGTTATACAGGGGAAAAAATAACAATTCAATTAGGATTACATAAATTTGAATTAGAAAAAAAAACTACAATTAATATGCTACCTATAACACAATTCACTAAGTTAAAATGAGAACATACTGCTCAATGCACAGTCTCTACTGAGCCGATCGTAAACTGACTTTGTGAGTGCGCTTAAGTTATATGGGCTTTAACTGCTCTAAAATGAATTCAAATGCTCCAATGCACACACAGCCCTCTGCAGGCAGACTTCACGGGAGACTTAGCAGTGATCACAGGTTAGACTATTTCTCCTTGGCTGAGCATGTGGTTTGGGGTAGAGGGATTGAGAAATGGGAATATCTGAAGAGCAAATGCGTATTCTCCCTAGTAATTTCATGTCCAACTTTTTTCATCCATTCCATTTTCAGATTACCTTTCCCTTCAGGGGGCTTATGAAGTAATCTCTGTGCAGCTGCTGAAGTTCTGGTTTCCACAAAACTATTCTCAATTTAAAATAAAGTTTACTTTTAAAATCATGTGAAAAGTAAACCACTTGAAATTTCTGAACATCGTGGATTCTCCTGTTACTGGGCCAAGATTGAATATGAAGGTTAGTTTCTGTGAACAAATGGATATGATGAAAAAAGCTGGGATCCCACCCTATCCCACCCTAAATCAGCAGCTACTAAGGGATGTTTGCTGCTAAATGTAGCTCTGAAGAACAGCTCTTGGGCCAAGGCACCACAAACTCCATCTCCATCTCCCACCTCAGGCTGTTCTACCTGGTAGAAAAGGAAATGAAGAATAGTGATTAGTCAAAGCACAACCACCACACAATCTTGGGCCCCGGGAACTCACAGCCAACAACACCGTAACTCCTTTTTCCGAGCCATGTCCGTGGCTCTGGTCTACTGGTGGCTCCCAATCTTAAACACAGCCCTTTGGTTCTTTCTATACTAAACCATTAGGAAGAAGGCAGAGAGAATGGAAACCAAGCATTCAGCATGCTTAGGCAAGTTAAGCTATAAATGAATATGCTTCCTATGCTGTAACTACCAAATCCCAGCACAGAGTTATCTCATAGACAGCTTTATTACATAGACATTTTTAAGTATGGGTGCTTTGCTTGCACGGATGTCTGCACACAAACTGTGTGCCGTGCCCAAGCTGTCCAGAAGAGGGGATCAAATCTGGAAAACGGAGGTATGGTATGATGGTTGTGAGCCTCTGTGTGGGTGCCAGGAATTAAAGCTGGGTCCTCTGGAAGAGCAGCCAGAGCTCATAACTATTGAGCCATCTCTCTAGACTCCTGTTTTTAATTTTATGACTCTGTGTGTGTGTGTGTGCGCGTGCGCACATATACGTACGCATGAGTGTGCTTGTTCACAGAGGTTGGAGAACAATTTTCAGGGTTATCTCCTCCCACCGTGTGGGTTCCAGGTATTAAACTCAGGTTTTAGTGGCAGGTGCCTTTACCCCCTGAGCCATCTCCCTGCTTGGAACTTCATTTTTGATATGGTAGGAATGTTGTCTGCATGCTAAGCAGCCACTGTTTCTCCATGTTTGGTGCACTGTTTGATAGGCAGGAGCCAACACTCGATTATAAAGACTGAATGACTGGCCCAAGGGCCTAATTGTGGGGTTGGAGGAATCTCAGAGCAGAAAGGTAGCAGAAAGCATCAGGTTTTTCAGTGCTTCCTTCCCCCCACCTCAGTTCACAAGAGCTGAACAATGTCACTGTCTTTACCTACCGGAGGGTGCAGCCATAAAGCTAGGTTTTGGCTTTGCTTATAAAGACCGAGTTGAGTTAAGCCTGGAAGAGACTGCTCCATCACTTCCTACACTCACATATCAGGCATCATGTATCTCTGTATGAAACACAGTTACTCTGTAGATTGCCTCATGACAATCCCTGAAGAGGGTCTGTGGCAACCCAGGTCCTCAATATAAAAGCTTCATTTATATTTCCACTCAGGTCTATTTTAGGAACAGTCTTTGTCGCTCCCGCCGGCCCACACAGAGGAGGAGGCATTTCACAGCCACCACTCCAAGCTTGGAATCCTTAACTCCTTGAAGCTGAATGCTAGAGACCAAAACAATGTAGTTTGTGGTACATCCCTAGGAAGAGAGATAATGCGGTCATTGAGACGAACACCTGACCGGAAGACGACCACCGGACACCTGTGTGATTGTGACTGAGCTAGCTGGCCTCTAACAGGGATAATAAACACTGTGCACTCAGCCCAGACCAGGGAGCCCAATCAGCACTCGGGGTGAACTAAAAGCAGCATCATTATCTGCCATTGCAAACCAGGAGCAGTTTTCTTGTGCCGGAGAGAGAAGAGAGAACAAAAGCAAAAGCTTCAGGAAGTGCATTTGGAAGAGCTATTCCCTGAGACTTTCTAAACTCACCAAGGGCCTGAATCAAAGGGGGATAGATGTAAACAGTGATTACTGTCCGACAGTGTTATCTGAAGAGATGGCTGCCTAAACTGGGTGTGAGGCTAATTGAAATAAGTCTTCTGTGTTTCCGAAGACTTCCCTGAAGCTTAAAGCAGAGTTGCTTTCTATCAGCTGCTCTCAGAGTGTGGGCTTGGGAGCTCATAAAGAGCCAGAGATCCCATGAGGTCAAAACATTGGTAATAATGGAAATGACATTAACACATTGTTTGCTTTTTCTGTTATCATCTCGCCACCGGGAATTGGTATTTCCTAGCAGCTACAGAATTCAAAGGCAGGTACAGGAAGGGGAGAGGGAGGGGCAGCACCACTGATCAGGTGTCTGTGTGCCTCATCCTTTTTTTTTTAACTGAGAGGTGGTGCACACCTGTGATCCCAGCACTCTGGGAGGCAAAGGCAGGCAGATCTCTTTGAGTTTGAGGCCAGCCTGGTCTACAAAGCAAGTCCTGGACAGCCAACTCTACACAAAAGAAGAAGAAGAAAAAGAAGGAGGAGAAGGAAGAGGAGGAGGAGAGAGAAGGAGAAGAAATGTCAGAATGAGCCAGATGTGGTGGGTCACACTTTCAATCCCAACACATAGGCAGAGGTAAAGGATCTCTGTGAGTGTGAGGCTAGCTTGGATTACACAGTGAGTTCCATGACAGGCATGGCTCCGTATAAAAACCCTTTCTCAAACAAAGAAACAGCAAAACAACAACAAAAGATACTTCTCAAAAGTACGTTTTTTTGTTTTTTTTTTTTTTTGTTATTGTTTTGTTTTAAGGTACCTCAGTTCTTGCTGATCACAGAATGATTAGAAGTCAGCCGACTGTTTCTCCCAAAACTCCTGAAATGGAGCAGAGGTTTTGACTAAACACTCCATACTTTCCTAGAAAAGGCCCTCTTTCATCCCAGAGACTGCACAAACCATGAACTTGCCAGAACATCCTTCTCAAGGCATTTCAGAGTCTGAAGATCCTTCTCCAAGTTGCTCAGATGCTGAAGAACAGAGCTGTGAAACCTCTCCAGCATGTTCAGTCTGCCAAACATGAAAGCATCAGACTTCAGTGAGACCAATTGGCTGTGACAGAACAGTCCCCAAGAGAACTTGTTCACCGGACAGTCTTGCCTTACGAGCATGGTGGTACCTTCCTTCTCTTCCCACCCTTTCATGTTCAGCGATTCCCCAGTCCCAGAAACTCTGTGACCCCTCACCTAGCCCCTGACAGCAGCCCACAGGAAACCTCTATGTCGTCACTAGCTTCACCACACAGGAGAGATGGCTCCAGGAAAGGAGACTAAATGTACCTCCCTCCCTTCTTCCTCTGCTTTCTCTCCTCTGTCTGGCCTATCACTGCTGTGAGAGCTGTGGTCGGGCAGGTTCACATACGCTTTTCCGACCTCTGTGTTTTAGTTCCAGATTTTTCCAACAGTCTCCAATCCTGTGTCTGGTGTCATTCTGTGTCACACAAATGTTGCTATACTGTCTCTCTTTTCCCTTAGGCTCAGTGTTCCATATAAAGAACAACTGTAGCTTTCTGCTCCTTTGGATATAGAATGTTAGAATCTTTGTCCCAGCATGGTATTATTGGAAAGTGATGGAGTCAGGGCCTATTGGGAGACCTTAGATCACAAATGAGCAAGTCCCAAAGGGGTCTGTGAGATCTGGGACTCGTTTCTTTTTCTTTCCTGTCAGCTGAGGAGTTCTCTCTACTACCTATTCTTGCCATGACACCTTCTTCTACCACAGACCCACAGCAGTGGGGCCAATTAATCACAGACTAGATCCTCCAAAACCATGGGCCAAAATATGTGCGTGTACGTATGCACAAGTACGTACCCAATTCTAATGCAACAGGGTCTTGGTCTACAATCTCAGCCTGATCTAAAACTCATCACGTACCCCAGGTTGGCCCAAAATCATGGCAGCTCCCCTGCCTCAGCCTCTGAAATGCTGGAATCCCAGGCCTGGACCACCTCACAGCTGGGTTGCATTGCTCTCACACACTGGGCCTGGGATAAGCAGCTGTCATCATCACACGGGACATAAGACACATGTTCAGTGTGTGTTGGCTGAGTGGATACGTGGCTGGGGGTAAGGCCCTTCAAATACAGCAGGGACACCACAAGTCCACAGCTTTCCATGGCTTTGTCTGGCCATACCATATGCGTAAGAACTTGAAAAAAAAAAAAAAAGACTATTTATTCAAATAGTGCATTTTTAAAAAAATGCATTTTATTTAATGTACATGATTTCTCTATCTGCATGTACACCCATATGCCAGAATAGAGCAAAAGAGCCTAGTATAGATGGCCCAGAGGCACCATGTGGTTGCTGGGAATTGAACTCGGGACCTCTAGAACAGACAGTGCTCTTAGCCGCTGAGCCATCTCTCCAGCCCCAAAACAATGCATTTTAAGCCCAAGAACCTTTCTATTTCAGCTAAGAAAATATGCCCCCCCCCATTTCAAGCCATTTCTCCAATGGAATTGGCTCTGCATTCCTCTCCCGGATGCCACTTAAATCTTTGTGTCTAAGATCTCATTCAAAAACCACATCCACAGCAGTTGCTCTGAACTGATGCTAATTCCACAGAAATCCATCTCTCACTTCCCCTTCCTTCTTAGCTTCTCTGAAATGGAGACACGTTAGTGTGTTGTGTGTCCTGTATCTTCTTATCAAAGTATGACATAAGATTTTTCCCTCTAACCATATTTAAGAGGGCAACTCATTTGTTGTTAGCTTTCTCGAGGCAGGGTCTCTCTGTGTAGCCTTGGCTCTCCTGGACTTGATTTGTAAGCCAGGCAGGCTTTGAACTCACAGCAATCTGCCTGCCTCTGCCTCCCTGAGTGCCGAGATTAAAGGTGTGTATCACCACGTCCGGCTAAGAGGGCAATTCAAAGCAATGGGCAGATTCATGGTGCTCTGCAGCCTCACATTACACATTTGCAAAGTTTTCCCATCACAAGAAATGGAAGACCTGTGCCTATTAAACAATGAACATTCCTCTCCCACAGCCTCTAGGATATTTTTCTGTCTCTACAGATTCCTGCTCACTTCAGTAAGCACCTCATTTAAGTGGAATATTTGCCCTCTAAGAGCCTGGCTTCTTTCTCTTAGAACAATGTTTTCAAGGTTCACCAGTGTTTAATGCATGTATTGTTATTTAAGTATGTGTGTGTGAGGGGGGAGGAGGGAGGGAGGCAGGCTATCAGTTTAAGAGAGGAGTGACATGGAAGGAGTTGGAGAGAGAGCATTTGGGAGGGTCTCAAGGACTGAAAGGGAAGGGGCAGTGGTGTAATAATATTTTAACTAAAAAGAAATGCCTTTGAAAGGCTGGCTGACAGTGGTATGGTTACGCCACATTTGACCTAGGTTGTTTTAACATAGCTCTCCTGACTTGCCTTGCTTTGCAAGTGGACTGTCCTTTCCAAAGAAGCCTCTTTTAGGATTGATCATGAAGAGGCTGGAGGAGAAGTCTGAGTTCCAGCTTTGGTCTTGTAGGTGGAGAACAAGACACCATACAGGTTGAGAGTTGCAGGAAGCCCCACGCCCTTCACGTTATCTTCTCAGCTCCCCCACCACACACACACACACATAATGAAGATAAACGTTGTTTCACCCCCATGACTTTGCTTTTCAATCACATATTTACCTGGACATGTGTATCTCGTCCCAAAGTCTTGTTAGGCAACCTGGCACTTCCTTTGCCTTTTCTGAAGGACGTGGAATCTCTTTGTGCTAAAGCCATTTAAAAAAAAAAAAAAAACACACACACACAAAACAATGTTCGGATTTGGGGTAAACATGATCCCTAAGTTGACTGTTTACTTATTCCAAAGATACCACCAACACAGAGTGATGCTCAAAGTCCTGCTGAGGGGTCAGTGAAGCATCATTGTCCTGTGTACACTTCAGACACTGCCTCAGGTTGGAACAAGAGGAACTATAAAAACCTATATTCATGCTACTGATTCAATGAATTGAGCAGTATGGATACATGTCCATTATTCGCTGGCTTATTGCAGAAAGCAGACTCTGGAGGTCTCCTGAGTTAGAGAGATATTGGCTGGGTATGATAATTTTCTTGAATGTGCTGATAGAGAAGTCATTAGGGAATTTCAAATAATAAGACTAAGTCCGAGGAGCCTGAAATTGCTGTGATATGCACATCACGGACAAGGCTGAGGAGGCTTGCATGGCCAGTATCTCAAAGATCTGCTGTTATTAAACAGATGCCTTCCACATTCCCTTCCCTGTGTCTTAGAGTCCACTCTCCTGCACTCAGATCCTTCCTTCCTCGCCTCTTTGTCTGTCACTGTGGCCAAACCACTGCCTTCTGAGAATGCCACCAATGAAACCAAGCCTAAAGCATGGGCAGAGAGTAGTCTGATCACTATAATATTGCCATCAGAATGGCAATAAAGTCAGTGACCGCAGCCAAGATGAATGCACCTGCCTCATGCTCATGAGACCTTCATGCATGAAGGGTATCGGACTACTGAAGAAATGAAAGAAATGTGGTAAGTTCCGAATGAGCCGAGTTTTCTTTCTTTTGTCTTTTTGCCCAACTTTGTTGAGAGATAAAGTTGACAAATTAAAGCATGGGAACTGTATGGACCGCTCAGTCTGTTTGTGCCCTCTGGCCAGTACCTGTCCATTCCCCCCTCTCCCTGGCCTCCCATAACCACCCTGTGCTCTGCCTTCTGGTTTAGCTTTTGTACATCTCACACATATAGGTGACGTCGTGCAGTGGGTCTGGCTCATTCCCCATTTCCTGCTTCAGTGCACTGGTACCTCAAATTTTCTTTTCAGATCTCTGGTGAAGTTTTCAAAAGCCAATTTTAAAGCAGAACTGTTTGCACTTTCTGGCACGTCTTCTTGAGATAAAGTAGAAATGTCTAATAAACAAAAACAAAATACTAAAGGTAACTTAAAAATGCTCACGCTTGGTCTCTCTGCTGGCCAGGGGATGGACCAGTTTGTCAGAATCACAATTATTATAAACCACCCCCAACTAGCTATCTGGATCCGATTCTGCAACATGGCTGACCCTCACTATGACCACATTAGCTCACACTCAGTGAGACAGGCAACTCCCGCTACCTCCCACCAAACTCCACCCTCTCTTCAAGTGTTCACTTCATCCAAACCTTTTCAGCATCTTAAATTGATCAATTGATACAGTGTCTAAGGAGGCAGCCTGGGTGTTACGGAAACTGTACAGAACACACAGCCCGGGAGACAGTGAAATGGCTTGGTGGTAAGAGTGCTTGTCACCATGCCTGATGAGTTGAGTCCTTGGGTCCCTATATAACATAAGGAAAGAGCTAGCACCGGAAAGTTGTCTTCGAACCTTCACCCTTGCATGGCATGAACACGTGTGTACATAAACAAACAACAGAGGAAGTAACAGGTTACGTCAGTGGGGATGGCCCAATAGAGGATTTCTGGGTGCCAGACTTACCTAGGTATATAAGGTCTCTGTTCTAAAGGATTTGCATTCACCAATTCATTCATTCCTTACAAAAATCAAGAGCAGGTGCTTCTAGGATTCACAGGAATCATCGACACCATCTGACTCCTGTAAGCTCACACCAGCAGCAGCTCCATGAATAGAACCCAGGCTGTCTCAAACCGTGATGTCTTGTGCCTCTAAGCTTTCCAATTTGTGTTTTTGGAGCCCTTCATTTCAAAATACATAGTACTATTCGTCCAGAAAGCTAGCGAAGCTCACATAGACATGCGAGAGGACTCTCTTTGATTATAAATTATGTATGCACACAAGTGTAATAACTATCAGCTTAAGCAGAAGCCTCTAATTTTAGAACCTTAAAGAAGAGCTGCAAAGCAGGAAGCAAAGTGCCAGAAGTGGGAGGTGCTTGCTTTTTTACCCACACTTAGGTGTAAAAAATTGTTCGTCTCGGAAAGAACAAAATGCTTAGCACATGGGCTGCCGCAGCCCTGGTGATCTTAGGACGAGAACTTTCTGTAAAGAACTCCAATTACCCACAAAATCAGAGTAAGAATTAATAAATGAGAGCACATAAAATTTAAAAGCCTTTGCATAGCAAAGGAGACAATTAACAGAATGAAGAGACAGCCTACAAAATGAGGAAATGTCTTTTTGAGCTATATATCCAACAGGGAACAAATACTTAGAAAAAAAAATAAAGAACTCCAAAATACATGCAAATATCCAATCAATATCAAGTGGACTGAGCAGATGGTTTTTCAGAAAAGTTAAGCATAAATGGTCAATAAACATATGGGAAAACATGTGACAGCTTAAGTCATCAGAGAAATGCAAATAAAAAACACGCTGAAGTTCTAGCTCAGCTCAGCAGCCAGGCAAACAACATAGGCTACAAGGATGGAGTGCTGCCATCCTAGACACGGCTGGTGGGAATGTCGATGAGCGCAGCCACTGCGGAAATCGGTATAACGGCTGCTCAAAACACTCAGAACAGGACTATCACACACCACAGCTATACCATTCCTGGGACTGCATCCAAAGGAATCGAAGTCTGCACACTACAGAGACACCTGGGCCATCCATTTGAGGTACCGCCGAAAACGACCAAGTCACAGAATGAACCTATGTGTCCACCAGAAATGGAATTAACTAAAGAAAACATGGTGGTCAGCACTGCATGACCCTGCCCAGGCCCATCGAGAACTGTACAAGAGTGTAGACCAGCTGACTGAGTTTGCCAGACCACCTCTCCTCTCTGCTCAAGCTGTCGGGGGTCTCACAGCAGTGCAAGCTATCTGGGCACGTTCCCCGGACCCCCACACAGGACCATTCGGACTTGCACAGGGGCGAGGCTACCAGGTAAGTCCCTCAGATGCCTACCTACACCACCCCTACACTCCCAGGCCTCGAATTAAACAGCACCCACCTTTACAACAGCCAGGCATGTCACCCAGGCTCACCAGGAAGAGCCACCCACACACCCTATCAGGAAGTCACCCCAGATCCCGGGCCCCGTACCATCTTTTTATCCTCAGACCCCACTAGGGGTCACATTCATTTGCTTTTTGGTTACCAGTGAATTAGAATCAACCCAGTCTCTCCGGTCAAGAGCCAAAACCAAATCCCTGAAGGATGGACCTTTCAGACCTGATCTGTAGTCAACCAATATTGGAAAAGAGCAAAAATTTCCACTAAGCAAGGGCTAGTCAGGTGTAAAACCAGTGGAATATAGCCAGGTCACATGACAAAAACACAAACAATATGAAAGGCCAAGACAGGACTCTCCCCCAAACATACACACAGGTGAAACACTCAGACACATAAAGTAAAAACTAATAAAAATATGTGATATATTTGTCACAAACTTAGCTTAATCTGATTAGTTCTAATTGCATCCATTTTCCAAAATTGACATGGTGCCATTCTTCTTCATGATGAAACAATTTCCTTTGTTCCTTTCTTTTTTAATATTTATTTATGTCTTGTCTGCATGTATGTCTGCACACCAGAAGAGGGCATCAGATCCCATGGAACCATAATTGTAGAAGTTGTGAGCCATAGCCAGGTATGGTGGCACACACCTGTGATCTCAGCACTCGGAGAGGCAGAGGCAGGCAGATCTCTGTGCGCTCAAGGCCAGTCTGGTCTTACAAAGCGAGTCCAGGACAGCCAAGGCTACACAGAGAAACCCTGTCTCAGGAAAAAAAGAGACATGATGTGGGTGCTAGGTATTGAACCGAGAATCTATGGATGTGTATTCAGTGATCTTACCTGTTGACCCATCTCTGCTGACCCTACCACATTTTTTTTTATCCATTCCTCAGTTGATGGACACCTTGGTTAGTTCTATAACTTGGCTACTGTGATTCATGCTGCAATAGTTTCTGATGCTATATTTAATCTATTTTGAGTTTTGTTCATGATATAAAGCAACAGTCTCACTCAATTCTTTTGCATGTGAATATGCACTTTTCCTCTTAACGCTCATTAAACACTTTTCTTTTTCCTGTCATTTAGTTTAGCATCCTTGGCAAAGATTAGTTGACCATATGTGTGGCGTTTGTATTTGATCCAAGCGGTCTTATCTTTTTATACCAACTTAACTTTCTAGAGCACTGTAATATAAATTGAAATGAGGGAGTTTTGACATACAAATCTGAGTTGTTCTTTCCCAAGACTGATATGGCAATCTGAGATCTTCTGTGGCTTCATACAATGCTTAGAATTTCTTTTTCTATTTTGGTGAAGAACACGTTTAGAATCCTGATAAAGATTGCATGTAAATTATATCAGTTCTTCCAGTCCAGGGAATGAGAGTCCTCCATGTATTCATAGCTTCTTCAAATACTTTTGCTAGCATCTTTTTCTTCAGTATACAAAGCTCTTTCTTAATTTATCCCTATTGTTATTGATTCCATTGTAAATGGATCATTTTCTTGCATCTTGTTTCAGGCAACTCTCAGCTAGCATAGAGGACGTGATAGATTTTTTTAATTAACGTGAACTGTACATATTAATGGAGTACGATATTTCTATAAATCAAAATAATATGTGGTGATTAAAATCAACCATCCCTTATCAACCCTTTCTACCTCCACATCCCCTCCCCAGCTTCTAGTAACTTAGTGTCTACTGTCAAGAAGAATTTAACTTCTACAAATCTACACGCGGTGCTGTTCCGTGTTTAGCTTACTTCGTACAAATCCAGGTTTCTCCATTTTGATGGAAATGGCAAGACACCACTCCTCTTCGGCTTTGATAATACATTTCATAGATGTGTTACATTTTTTGCTACGTGTGCTTCTTTCTTTGCAGGGGTACGTGGGCTGGCTCCGTATTTTAGCTACTGTGTGGCGTAACAAACCTCACTCTGAAGGTTTGCCTTGTTGGCGTCCTGAATTCATTTCCTTTTGTTACATTCGCAGAAGTGGGGCAGATTGCACCATATGCTAAGACTATTCTGGTTTGTAAAGAACCTCAGAATTGGTCTCTGTAATAGCTGCACTGGTCTGCCTGGGCGCCAGTGGTGTATAAGAGTTCCTGTTGTCCATAGGAGAAAAAGGAAGCAGATACAGGCAGAAGACTCTCCAGAAATTAATGGGCTAGCTAGCCCAGTTTCTGAAGCGGTTAATAAACCCCATCTCAGAACAGTGACAAGGCAAGGACTGACACCAAATGGCTATCCTGTGACCCGCACGTGCACACACAAATTAAGGTAAAGAGAAATTAAGACACCTGATAGCAACCTCTGTCTGGCTGGTGTGTGCACACACACACACACAACTTTTTGTTGTTGTTGTTGTTGTTTTAAGGAATTATAAAGACTTTCATATTTTTCTTTAAAAACTTGGTTAAAATTCAGTAGCTATCCAGTTCCAGGGCTTTTTTTTTTTAATGGTTTATTATTGATCCAATTCCATTGTTTGCTAGGTTATTCTCTGGCCTCACACATCAGTTTTAAGCCTCTAGTTTGTTCCTATAAGTTTTCATATAATTACCTGTAATAATCTGTATTTCTGTGGTACTGGATAAAATGTTCTCATCATCACCAATTGTGTGAGTCTTTTGTTGATTAGTTGATTTGTTGATAGCTAATTCTTTTTGTCTTTTTAAAAGACAACTTTCACTGACTTTTTTTTTTCTGTTACTACTCTGATTATCTCTCTGCCCATTTTGAGTTTAGTTTTTTACATCCTTGACTGAGATGCAATCTAGGCTATTTTAAACATTTACTTTAAAAAGAGGCACTAATCGCTCTATGCCTTCATCTTTTTAAAAAATATATATTTTTATTAAGAAACAGTCTAGACAGGAATCCTTTGAAAACAACTCTGAAAAACTGGTCAGAGCTGGAGTGTAGCTCTATACAGTTGGTGGCTTCTGGCAGGTGTAAGGTAGGGGAAGGAATAGGTTATCTTTAAGGGGCTGGCCACTGGAAGTTTGACCATGCTCCACTGAGTATATGGGCAACACAAGTAGGGCTTGGAAACTTATCCTTTTTCTTTTGTTTTTGGGGAAGGTCATAAAGGTTTGGAGGTTGCCCTGGAAGGACTGGGAAGTGAATGGGATTGAGGCGCATTACGTGAAATTTCCAAATAATCAATAAAAACATTAAGTTAAAAAACAAAATGAAAGGAAAAATTTTATAAGCATGAAACTGTCTTATGAATCCCTCACATCTATTGAATAAATCTATGACGATAATAAATTTTTTTTTTATTAAGCAATATTTTAATAATTATAAGCAATATTTTACCATAAATTAATGTTTCTTAATTATTGGAAAATTTAAGAGAAATAAAAGTCCTCATAATTCCTCATAAAACAACCAGGTACAATGTTTCCTGTTGAATCCAATATATTCTTTTCAAAAATGGGGAACAGAGCTAAACAGAGAATTCTCGAAAGAGGAACATCGAATGGCAGAGAAACACTTAAAGAAATGCTCAACCTCATTAGCCATTAGGGAAATGCAAATCAAAACGACCCTGAGATTTCACCTTACACCCATCAGAATGGCCAAGATGAAAAACTCAAGTGATAGCACATGCTGGAGAGGTTGTGGAGAAAAGGGAACCCTCCTCCATTGCTGGTGGGAATGTAAACTGGTTCAACCACTCTGGAAGTCAATCTGGCGCTTTCTCAGATAATAAATATTTTTATTCTGTGTATGTTTTGCCTGTGTTTGTGCATGCCAGATTCCCACAGAGGCCAGAAGAGGGCACCAGAATACCTGAAACTGAAGTTAAGGATGTTTGGGAACCATCATGTGGATGCTGGGAAGGAACCTTCGTCCTCCACAAGAACTGGAAGCCTGTTCCTAACTGCCGAATCATCTCTCTGGCCCCTAGACTTCCCTCTTAATGCTACTTGTGCTGTATTTCACAAGTTTTCGTACATTTGTTTCTACTTTCCTTTATCTCAACATATTTACTTTTTTTTTTTCTCCTGACTTTGATGATTTATTCCTTCCAAAAGTCTGTTGGTAAGAATCTGACACAACCAGCATCTGTGATCCACCTCCATCTGAAACCCTCCCCACTGCAGGGGAATTCTGATAGTCTTGGGCAACACTTTGGAATTTCTCTTTATATCAAATGATATCTTTGATGGTTCCTTTTATTTCTGTCTTGCCGATTGGTCTGCAAGAGCTTCTAGAACTGTCCTGAGTTGAATGGTAGAGTAAACAGCTTGCCAACTTCCAGATCTTGACCAAACCTTTTCCCCTTTTACCCCTGTATAGGATATGAAATCTAAGCTTCTAATGCATAGCCGTTAATAGCGAGGGCACATTCTATATTTCTATCTAATTTTCGAGAGTCTTTTTTAATCGTGAAAGGATGTCAACTTCCTCTTAGGATTCTTCTGAATCTACTGAAACTAGGGGTTTTATTCCTCGTTTTGTTGTTGCGAATGTCACATCAATTTTCCTAAGTTGGACCATCCTTACATTCCGGGGATAAATCCCACTTGATTACGATGCACAACGCCTTTAATGTGCTGCTGGAATCCATTTCCTAGCCGCCTTAGTGTTCCTGTTGCTATAGTATAGCACCATTACCAAGAACAGCTTGGAGAGGAAGGGGGGATTTAATTAGGCCTTCACTTTCACATCGCACTGTGTCCTCAAAGGAGTCAAGGCAAGGACCTAGAGGAGGTAACCGAAGGAGCCATGGAGGAATACTGCTTGGTTTGTTCCTCGTGGCTTGCTCACCCTGCTTTCTTACACTACTCAGGACCGTCTTTCCCAGGCATGGTGCCACCTACAGTGACCCGGGGCCCTCTCACACATAATCAAGAACAGTCCCTGTCGACTTACAGCAGACAATCTGATGGATGCATTTTCTTAGCTGAGGTTCCCTCCTCCCAGATGACTGTAGCCAGTGACAAGTTGACATAACTAGCCAACACACCCGAGGATTGTTCCATCTGTGGTCCTTAAGAATATTCATATGTGATTTCTTTTCTTTTTTTTTCAACCAATTCCTTATCTAGCTTGCCTAACTGAAAGCTACTGGCAATCAAGTCCTTTAGAAAGTTTAGCGACCTTTCTGTTGGTCACCACGTGAGTTTCCCTGTCTTTAAAACCCAGCCTCGAGCACCAAAGCAAAGTTAGAATTCAATAACACTGGCCCTCTTCAATTGGAGACAGTAAACAGAGAAACCATCACGCCGTCACTTGCTCAGAGATTATTTTTAGGACTTTCCTCATAGCCGGGGACATAGCTTAACGGATGAGGGTGCTTTCTGACAAGGCTTGAGTTCTGTTCCCAGAACACACATGCAGGAACCAGTTCCTGCAAGTTGTCCTCTGACCTTCACATGGATGCTGTTACACACATGCACACACAAATAATTTCACAAAGTCAAAAAGTTTCTTTTATAGACCATATCCTAAAATAATCTTTTCTAATATAAACTAACTGAAAGTCAAGTACCTATTTCCTGTGTGGCTGCCTCGGGAATTAAAAGCATAGAAGTATCTTGCAGTTTTGCTTCAGAAAGTTTTGGAAGAGTGGTTTCATTTCCCCTGGAGATGTCTTTCTGTATCGGTGTTAGCTCAGCCTAAAACATAACAGTTTTGTTAAACGTTAATACTCATAATACTCAAAAAATAATAAAAACACCCAAGATATTTCTGATTGCCTTTAGAACGACTAAGTATTGGATTTGCTCAGTTGAAAAACCAAACACTGAGACCCTGACACCCCCAACCCAGAAGATCACTGAAGTAAAATCTTAACTGATAACTCCAGCCTGGTGCTTCTGTAAGTGTGCTCCAGGTCAGAGGACACAGAGGAGCTCAACAGAACTGCAGATTCTCAACTCCCATCAACAAGCTACTCAATCAGAGACTCGGGGCTGGGTCCAGCACCCACCAAACCATTCTGGTCACTCTGCTGACCTTAAGGGGAGGAAGCTAAGCTGCTGCTCTTATACATAAATATGCAGTAGGCCCTTTAGTCTAATGCGGTTCTCTGACTAGACGGGAACAAAGTATATGCTGCCCTGGTGAATCTACGGTTCAAAGAACACAACGCTTATCTTCCCCTTAACAGAAAATATTCTCTAGCCCTTGCCCCAAATTACTTCCTTGCTATCCAACACAGAGAATGGAAAGTCAGCCCGACATTCTCACTGAAAAAATGGCATAGAATTCTTGTTCGTTGGACAGTTTAAATTTATCAGGTTTGATTTTGGGGTTGTAATTAAAACCAAAGTTGTATTTTTTTTGTGTGTGTATCTTCTTTTGGCCTGTTTACAACTGATAACTTCCGATTCTAGGCTGAACCGTTCAAAAGAAAGTTAAAGAGAGCTGTCCACATCCACAGATTTTTTACCCCCATCTTCTAATTCAATAAAGTAAGGATCAAAAATGTTCCGAAAAATAACATGACTACACCAAATATATACAGACCATATGCTGGCCATTAATCTTTACATAATAACAGTACAGCAACTATGTGCATAGCACGGCATTGCATTGGGTGTTTTAAGTCATCTAATGGTGGTTTAAAGTCTACAGGAGGGGTACACAGGTTATATGTAAATACTGTGCTATTTTAGGAGGCACATGGTCGGCTACAGATTCTGGTATCCACGTAGGAGACTGGAACCAGATGCCAAAGGACAAGTAAATATACTTATCATGCCTCGTAGGTTTAACCTTTTCCTTGCTAAGGAAGAAAACAGGTGGAGATGGAGAGCCAACTGCATCCTACTTCTGCAAAAGCAGGTGAGGTACCCTTGGAATCCACGCAGCTACTCTTTATTAAGCTATGGTGAACTGTTGACATACTCTGTAATGTGCGCAGGTGTGTGATTTGACAAGCAACAAGAAATAAACAAGCGCTAAGAAAAGTCACTCACTCGGCTAAGGAGATGGACCACTTGCCTTTGCTTTAGACTGCAGAGTACTAGTTCATAGTCCTTAGTCCTTCGGTATAAAACAAGGATAAAAGGAAGAGAAATGGGGATTTTTTTTTTCTTTCTCACTTTATGGATGTTTCAACCTTGCAAACTTAAGGTGCAAATGCTGAAATCTTTTTTTTTTTTTTTTTTAAATCTGTAGTCAGGAAACTGGTAACTAAAGGAGGGATTGCATCAATGTGTTCATTTTGAAATGGAAATTCAAGAGCATGCACTTGTGGGAAATCAGGACAGCAGAGATATTTAAATAAAGATTCTTCAGCAGCATGAAAGATGACCAGGAAAAAAAAACAACTAAATTTACCTGGAGATTCATACCAAACCTTTCGATGCCCTTGATTTTTCTATTGGCTGACAATACACCAGGAGAGCCCTAATTTGTTATTCTCACAGCCCTGACGAAAGTGACGTGGTTTGACCCATAAGGGCCCAGGACAGCCAAAAAAGCACACTTACTTGAACTTTCTCAGGAGCACTGCCTCTACCGATGGGGGAAAGTGGTAGGACTGAAAAGTGAAAGTGAGGACACAATGGATGCATGCTTATGAGACACAGATACGCTCGCCCCTATCTCCAATCACATATGTGCATGCTCCCCCCCCTTCCCACTAATGGGGGCTTGTTAGTGTCTGCCCTCAGGAGGCTTTTCCAATCATTCAGCCTCCTTCCTCTCCACCCCTGCCTTCGCTATCACCTCACACCTTGGTTTCACAATGCCTCCACTTCTCAGCTCTTCAAATCCTACTCTTCTCCAAGAGTGGCTCAAGACCCACCCCCTTCTTACAGAAAACAGTTCCAGCTTGTGCTAGATTCCTCTTCCCTAACTGACCATTCTGTTCTTCTATACCTCAATTGGAGGCTGACCCCACATTCGGTTTCATGGACAAACATTCCACCTTTGCAGGCGTTACAGGAAGAGCATCCCCAGGACCACATATGACCCTGCTACCATCCTCACCATCACATACTAAAACATAAACACCCACTGACTTACTGACAAGTGGCCCAAAAGAACAGAAGCAAACTAGCTTACTTCTTATAGAGGTGAATCTCTGCTTTCTTTTCTGGGGATACGTTTTTAGGGATTTTCTTCTGTGACTCTGGACACGAGATTGTTTACTGGGACTTGAACTTGAATCTTCATTACTGTCGAAGATGTAATGTTTCCTATCATTGAACTTTTCCAAAACAGATGACAAGTGAGAATACTGAAAGCAGGCATTCCAGCTGCTTTCACAAAACACTATGATTCGTCTTGAGACACACTTTCTGTTAGGAGACTAGGTTCTCTTCTACAATAAAAAAAGTGAGGGAGGGGGAGAAAGGGAGGGTATCACAGTTCCCAGGAAAGGGGCTGTGGCAGAGGATGACAAATTCTCTCTAGTCAAGTATCTGGAACTGAAGGGGAATTGGTAACTGTCCCAAAGTAGCCACCCCCCCCCCCATATTACACCAATACCACCACTGCAAGCACAGGCCGACATGACAAAACCAAGGTCAAACTCGTCTTCCCAGTGGCCAGGCTATAGCTCCATAGTAAGGGTTTCCCTAACACAAATGGCCCGGGGTCTACCCACAATGAGGCAAAAGGGCACAGGGATGTCTTTGCAAAACAGGTGTATTGAATAGGAGTGAAATTACTGCTTATTAGTCATTCTTGTTGATATTCAATCATGTTTAAACTCTCCCCCTCATATGCCTCTATGGAAAGACATGTTTTTGCTCTGTGTGGCTTGTCCTTGTATACAGCTTGAACTCATGAGGACGTTATTCGTGTGACCTTTCCTAATGCTCAGAGTAGAGCATTGTCCAGGGCTCTGAGTAATGTCAGCTACTGAATGGGGCTCCATTCTCCTAGGTGCCACCCTAGGGCAGGGCCAAGGAACCAAACAGATCATCTCTCCTCACAGCTGATTGCCTCAGTTTTTCACAGCAACAGAAACCTGACAAATACTGTTTTTCTGAAAAAAGACAAAAACCCAATACCCCAATGTGTGGCTGTGTCTTGTATAAATGGGGTCAAAATTTCCAGACTTGGTTTTTGTCTGTAGACCAGAGGTAGGGACACTCTGAGTCTCAGGAGGCTGAGGGTAAGAATGACTGCAGAAGAAAACCAAGACACACTCTGGCAACTCGTGAGCTCACTTTTAGAAAAGCCTCTTATTTTTCTGAGATCTTCAAAATTATGTGGAATCTCAGGCTTCAGGGTATTGTCCTCCCCTGCTGGCTCACTGAATGGATGCCATTAAGCTTGCACAGACAGAAAGCCACATCTTTAAATACTAGCTCAGAAACATTTTGGGTTTTCTTAGTTGTTTTGAGATACTGCCTCACTCTGTAGACCAAGCTGGCCTTGAATTCATGGAAATCCTCCGGCCTCAGTCTCCCATGAGCTGGGATTATAGGTGTGAGCCACCACCCCTGGTCCATTTCAATTCTTCAATAGGTCAAAATCTACTAAAGTTAAGTTACGGGTGTAAAGTGTGTTTACTTACTAGCCTTTTCCTTTTTTAAGGCAAGGCTCAAGGTCCAGTTTAGCTTAACAGAGTTGGGGGAGGGTTATCCACCTTTTTTTTTTTTTTTTTTTTCCTAATTTATTGTTCCTGAACACAAGAGAATTTATGCCACTAGAGCAGAGGCTGTGTGGATGACTGAGGAGCCACTTGGTCTTATAGTAACGAGCCAACCCCAACTGGTGAATTCTGCTCTCTATCAGAATCAGCAGAATTTAGCATCCTTATCCTTTCTGTTCCTCTCAAGATGCTTTTGGACAGCAATGGCTTTCTTAATCAAATGGTAGAGACCCTCTCTGGGAGATTGGGGGCCAGGCCTTTTGACTTAAGGATTCTCAAAATATTATTACCAGTCACAAAATGGACCTGTGCCACTCCATGTGAGTCCTTCAGGATCACACCTATCTGGGAGGGAGTCAGGCCTTTCTTGGCCAGTTTGTAAATCTGTTTCTTCATGTCATCAGATGTCAACTTCAGCCACTTGGGGAACGAACACTACAGCAGTAGGGCTGCACCAATTGGGACAGGCCCTTCCCGGGAGCGTGCATGCAACCCATGATGGCAGAGGTCTGGTCATAAGATCTCTTTGGCTTTTAGTGTTAGTCACCACAGCCCATTTTTATCCAATGTGACCTCTTTGGGCCGCAGTCAGAGAAAGGACCTCCCATCTCTCATCTGCCACGAGGCAAAGTTGTTCCTTTGGTGAAGGTTTCTGAATACATGCTTCTGTACAAAAGACTGCCTGAAGGGATTTAGGTTTTAAGTTTTCTATGATCTAGTTACCAGCAAATGGAATTTAACATGAAATTCGCCCCTCTTCTAGTTTTGTTGATGGCTCTCATTCATCTAACTGAATAAGGGGGGTGCTGTTGTAGATTTAATTACCTTTCCACAGTTAATAGCTCATAAAGCAGACATCACATATTAGATGAGAAGACAGAAAAATAAGTAACTGTATATCAAAAGAGTGATGCTATTTTTTATAATTTTCTGGGGATCTACCTGCTATTAGGAATAACACTGATTTTACATTTGAAATTGCAATCCTTCCATGTATAGTGAATTTGAGGAAACTGAAGCAGAGTTGGGGCAAATTTGAAGATATATGCAAACAATGGCTGTTTGCAAAGTGCTACCTTAAACCAATAGGAATTCCCACATTACCAGCATTCTCCTGTCCTGTTCTCTGTCCCTCTCCAAGGCAGAATCTTCCCTAAAATAAAACATACCAAATTAACAGGACAGGTGCAACCCCCTTCACCCTCCCCTGTCACCACAGAGGTCTGGCTTCTTGATCACGGACTCAGCCTGTGGGGTGTACTCAGTTCTGCAGACAAACGTATCTTACAACCTGTTTTCACGTAGACTCTCTGGAAGGGGAATACTGCTATTCAAAGGAAAATGAACCTTTGTGGAGTCCTTCATCTCTCAGACACAAAGGGGGAGGGCATAGTGGGGTCAGCGGGCAGCCTGCCAGCACAGTTGATGCTTAAAAATATGGTCTCTCAACCCTGGCGCTGCCCAAGACCCATCTGGGGTGCTTAAAAAAAAAAAGTTGTCCCCAGAGTTTGGTGATGCCAAGTGTCGGCTGGCCACTTGTGTGTCTTCTGTGGAGAAATGTTGCCTTGTCATTACATTATCGAGTTCCTTGTCTAAGCTCAGCAGCAAGTAACCGTTTGTCAAATATCTAGTCTACTGACAAGAGAAGTCAGGGAGTGACTGGAGCTTGTATGTACCGATGGGAGGGAGCGACTCTGGGAAATAATACGATGCAACAGGGAAACAATGAAAGGTAGAACTACCGTATGGTTTTCCAATCTCGCTTTTGGCTTTACGTCCACAGGAATTGAGAAATGTGACATCGGTATACAAAGTCAGTGGCTCCAAATCGAAAAACACCAAGTGCCAAAGTCCAAACGTTCTGAGCGTGAAGGTGAGGGACACAAGTAGAGCCCCACGCCTGCCCCGTGTGATGGGTCAGTGGAAGGGCAGGCGCACTGATGCCCTCTATGAAATCGCCGCCATCCCATGGCTAGCAGGCGCGTGAAGGACAAAATGAACTTGTCAGCCAGATTTGGGTCTCACTCCCAACAGTCACAAATATTCCAAAGTCTGACAGCACTCCCTTCCTGAACACTCCTTGTCCTCGGCATTTGGACTAGGAACACTCATCTATACAAACACACACACTCATCCATTCATCCATTAACGAGCATCTGAATTGTTTCTGGTTGATGATTTTCATAAGCGAAGCTGCTGTGGACCTCCGTGCACATTCTCTTTGTGGATGTATGCTGACAGACGTCTTGGAAGATATACACTATTGGAACAAGTGGGCCAGGGGGCAGGTATAGGCTCAACACTTTAAGGAACTGCTAACAGACAGTCTGCCCTCTCCACACTGTCCCAAACCTGACGAACAGAAAGACATCCTGGTGATGTACGGTGCACCTTGCTGCCACTGATGCTCATTCCCTGTGACTAACGGCACTGAGCAGCTCTCACGTGCTCACCTGCCACTTGAGTGTTTTGCTTTGGGACATTGCTTGCTTCGATCTTCTACCTGCGTTTTCATTGCTTTCTATCCTTACCTCTATAAGTTTAAACTGTAAGGCCAGAAGCAAATGCTTACAATTCTTTTCAACAAGGCGGTAGCGATTCTTTTCTTTTACAGCAGTGATTTTTTTTTTTTCAAAGCATACAGGGCCTTGCTTTATCTTGGTGAAGTTTAGTTTATCAGTTTGTGGTTTTTTGTTGTTGTTTTTACAGGCTGATTTTAACTTCGCTAGCTTAAAAAAAAAAAAAAAAGCAAAAAAGCCCCATGCAAAGTTAGGTATTCATTCCAAGTAAGTTTTACATATAAGCCTATGACTGGCTTTTAGTTCATTTTTATACAGTGAAGAGTAAGGTTGGAAGGTCATTTGTTTCCTTGCATGAGGATATTCAGTTATTTTCACACTGTTTATAGAAAACTCTTCCTCCACTGAACTGCCTCTGCGTCCTCATCACACACCAACAACCCACACACCTGCAAGGCTCCCCTTCCTTCCTGCTGCTTTATTCACTTATCTTTCATGGCATTTCCACACTCTCGGCTTCTAGTAAGTCTGGAGAGCGTGTGGTGTGAAAGCTCTGTCACTTAGCTCCATTTTGAAAACCTTATTTGTTCCCCCAGAACCTTTAAAGTTCCCATGAGGAACTGAGAAGTGGCTGGCCAGTTTCTTTTTAAGCCTACGGATATTCCAACCAGGGGTTATATAAACTCCTTAGATCTATCTGGGCAGAACTGAGATCTTGGTATTAAACTGTCACCTCTCGTCAGCACACTGTCTCTCCACCTTCCTAAATGTTTTTCTTTTCTCTCACTGTGTTCTGTAGTAGCCCCCGTCTGGTCGTGCCCTACCAGCACCCTGTGAATGAATACCTAAGTATATCTTAACGCTGTTACAAACAGGCCAGCTTTGTGGCCCAACCAGAAGAAAACTGACTTTTGCACGCTTCTTATTGTTTAATCTAAAATGCAGCCGAAAAATACATTGCTGGGGCCACTCCGAAGGTATGCTTTGTAGGACCCTGCGGGGCAGGGAAGTTTGCCAGCACAACTCGAATTGTTCTACAGAAAATTACACTTGGAGTTTAGATGGGAACGGCCAGGGAAACTCTAAACATGAGCAGTCATCTTGTGTGGTTTTGTAGTTTTACAATAGCCTAAATGCTCACCAAGAGATGAACGGATAAGGAAGTGTGGCACATACACACAGTGAAATACTGCTCAGCCACCAAGGAGGACATCCCGAAATCCTCAACCCGGGTGACACTGGAGGACATTCCAGCGGGTGAAATGAACCAGGCGGACAAAGACAAGTACTGTATGACCTCACTGTCATGTGGGCTCCCAAAGTCCCACCCACAGAGAGGGAGCTACTTGTATAGGAAAACAAAATCACCCTATCTCCCAATAAACATGGCAATGAGCATGCTGATACATGTATGGATGTAGCCATTCATGCCTGGATCACGGTGTCTCCATAAACATGGGACTCACGACAGATGCAGGCAGGCTTGGGAAGATCAACGTGTACAGTTACTACACTAATTAACAAAACAAATATTGAAAATTGAAAATCATAGCAGGCAGTGGTGGCACACACCTTTAATCACAGAACTTAGGAGGCAGAGTCAGGCCTATCTTCGAGTTTGAGGCCACCCTGGTGTACAGAGCAAGTTCCAGGACAGCCAGGGCTACACAGAGAAATCCTGCTCAAGAAACAAAATAATGAATAATAATAATAACGAAAACTTACATTGCCTGAGTTTGGGTCCGTACCTCTCGTACATCTGAAGAATACCCATGTTTTGAAGTAAGGGCTAGGGACCGGAAGTTAAAAATAAAACGGTGATAAGCATGTTGGGTAAACATTTAAATAGACCACTCAGCGATGGCGGGGAAAACACAGTGTACCTTGTCTGGGGTCATCTGGTTTTGAGCTTCCAGCTGAGCGGTCTTCCATATTTGTTATCTGCAAGAGAAAACGAAACTACTACGGTATCAAGGAAGCCTCGGTCTCCAGTCTTTGGGAACCGCTCTGCCTCTGAAGAGCTGCCGAGTGAGCACAACTTGGCTCCCAACGACTCTGTTGTTCCAAAACTTTTACTTCCAAATCACAAAGACTATGAAAGATGGCTGGCCGCACGGCACTGGTCCAGACTCAGCGCTATGAGAATGCCTCCAGGGGCGTCAGCACTAGGGGGCAAGGGTTCAGCTTCCCAAGACACCTAAATGGTGACATCAAAAGGTGACAATTTATCTGAAAGACTCATCTCTGTTAAACATAAAAATCCCGGCACCATTATCGATCTCACCTCTGTACCATGCTTGAACTCTTGGCCCATAGGGAATAGGGAATTAATTAGGAGGCATGGCCTTGCTGGAGTAGATGTAACTGTGAGGATGGGCTTAGAGGTCTCCTACGCTCAAGCTACGGAGAGTGTGGCACACATCTCTCGTTGCCTGCGGATCCAGATGTGGAACTCTCAGCTCCTTCTCCGGCAGGCACGGCGTCTGCCTGGGCGCTGCCATGCTTCCTGCCACAATGATAACAGGCCAAACCTCTGAGACTGTAAGCCAGCCCCAAGTAAAGGTTTTCCTTTATAAGAGCTGCCTTCATCCCCTTGCAGCAATGAAACCCTAAGACAGACACGAAGCCCCAAGAAGAGCGGGGTGAGTCCGTGTGTCCACAGGTCCCCAGCTAGAGAAGGAAACCACATTTGACCCTCAGGCTCCTTCCCTACGTTAATTTGCAAACATTTTCCTCCAGATCCCAGCTGAGGTGACCTGGCAGAGACCAGTCACTGCAAGCATTTCACGGAGAGACATCTTCAAAGAACAGAGAGATTACATCGGCTCCGGGTATAAACAGAATCAGAAGGAGGACACAGCCGCTACTGACCAACAGCTGTTGAGAACGGGCTAGCATTCAAGGAGGGCATCTGCTGGTCTCTCCTGCCAGCCACAAATCCCAACCTTCTTTTCCCAGATCCTTACACTCACAGCAGGCTCCGGGTCAACTTCAGCATCCATAAACTCTGGCAGCAGGATTGTGGCTTCTTCCGCAGGCTCTATATTCATGGAACGAAAAAAAAAAAGGTAGGAACCCCAAAACCTCCGATAACGTCTGTGAGCCAAGCTTGCACTCGGCCGGTCTTTACTTTCCAGACAAGAGTAGCTGTGTTACACCGCCACCTTGTGGTAAGAGCTGATAATGAGGTTGTGCCTCAAAACTCAAATCCAAAGCAAAGCACTTGAAATCTGAATTCTAGACAAGAGCTTCCTGCCAGTAGGCAGGGCACCTCCCCGCCACACCCTGTATCTGTTTTCCTTGGTCACTTCCACCAGTCCCCAAAGAGGACATTAGCAGATGGAGGAGCAGCCTCAAGGCCAAGATCGGACCTTAAGAATTGTGTTCCATGACTCCCGCAGGGACAGCTTCTACGCCTCTACCAGGAATTTCGACTCAGAATTCTGCCACCTCCCAACATACCTGTTTGTCTTTCAAGACTGCTAGGAATTTCACCACCACCTTTTCCAAGGCCAGAGGCGGTGTTTATCAAAGTAGGTATCTGAAATAAAAAGTCAGGGCACATACATTTTCAAAGCAGCAGCCATTTAAAAAAAAAAAAAAGTTTTAACATTTATTCCACAGCATGTTGAGAAATTAGGGCCGCCGAGTATTTGCTGTCTTTTTCATGTTGCTCTCTCTGGCTTGCAATCCCCCACGCTCACCCCATCTCCCAGCCACCACTTTCTAGGATGATTATCTCTGGCTCCTTATTACATGGTCTTAATCCATCTGTCATCTGTCGTGGCTTCAATTCACTCTTCGAATCTTGCATGTTAGAAACTGTATCCCTAGGGCGGCAGAGCTCAGAGAGCTGGGGCGTTTGGGAGAGGGGACTCTAAGATCTTTGCCTGCAAGACTGGAGGCCTTCATCAGAGGCTGAGCAGATGAATGTCAAGATACACTCAAGGGAGACTCCAGCTTCTAGAGCCATGAGCTCAATAAACTCTGTTTCTTTATCAGTAACCCAAACTATTAGCTTATGATGAAAGAGAGAGAAAGAAGAAAAAAGAAAAAGAAAAGAAAGAAAACAAAACCAAAAACCATCCCTTGGTTCTTCGGGCTCCAGTTCTAAGCAAGCTCTAGAGTGACTTTTAATCCATGCTTCCCTTGGGGGATGTGGCTCTCTCAGTGTATGTGCAGTGAGCACCCAGCCCTGGTCCTCCAATCTTACCCTTTCCTCACAGGAGTTTCCCACTCCAAGAACTGTGGCTCTGTCCCTTGCAGACTCCAGTTCTCTGCACTGAAACCATCTTTTTCACTTTGGGGAATGCGGAACTGTGTGTGATGTTGACGGCCCTCGTATGTAGAGGCAAATGCACACCAGGCCAATTTGCCGTGTGACATTATAGAGGAGATGCTTCTCTAAGAGGTTAGTACTCCATCTCTCACCCTCATCATCCTTGTGTAGGACCTTGGGAACTGTATCTGCAGAGGCCTTTATCATCTATAAGATGCTTTAAAACATAACTTAAAACAAAAGGAAACCAGCCAAGACTCCCTCCCTCATTTTGTCCCTTCCCTTCCTCCAACTTTTCCACTCAGCCCCTTTCTGCCTGTTCCGGATGTCCTTTTGTACAAATTCCTTTACCTTACCCACTGTCTATTACTAAAACCCTTGTGTGTTCATAGGAAAAAGTGAGGTCAAGAGGGAGATCACAGAATGCCAGGGCAGGTGTGGGGCATTTCTATCAGAAAAGGCTTATACAGAGTTGGGCAAACTCCCTGCTGTCCTCCTAGGGCCGGGAGGAAGGGTGGAACCACACTGGTCTGCTCAGGAGTATGGTAAGGAGATAACACCAAGTACAAAGTACACACTGTCCACAGCAGGTGGAATAAAGCACTTTAAAGGCCGCAAGAGCTTTTGTGTCTTCTATATGTAAGACAAAGACGCATGAGGAGGAAGACACGTGGGATCAGAACCCACTACTCTCCGGTCTTCTGCTTGGCCAAAGGATATATCAAAACCCAACATAGAGGCTGAGGAGATGTGAAAATACACTTTGAAATAATCAAAGGAAATGAAGCCGGGCATGCTAGCACACGCCTTTCATCACAGCACTTGGGAGGCAGAGACAAGCCCACCTCTGGGTTCAAGGCCAGTCTGCTCTACCACCTTTCTCTAATGAGAAAAACGCTATCTCAAAAAACCAGAGAGAGAGAGAGAGAGAGAGAGAGAGAGAGAGAGAGAGAGCTGCCACCTGTTTGTCTTCTCCCAAAACTTGGACAGAAACTTCTGATATGTCAAAATGCCTATCAAAGTAGATTTCTATTATCCTTGCTTCTCTCTTGCTGATAATAATCGGCTGTTTCAGGTAAATGATGAACAGCTTCATCCCATCATTGTCTAGCAAAAAAAAAAAAAAAAAAAAGGTCTCATATTAGCTGTATCAGTGTAATGAAAGTTTTTGTCACTGTTCAGAATTTTCTGCAAAGAGAATATAGAAGTCATACTAGATAGAAATGGCTTTGAAATTTTTATTTACATATACACAAAACACAAAATAGAGGCTAATTATCTGATAACATGAAGGACCTTGCTTTACTCATGAAAAAAAAGTCATATTGTATGACACCATCCATGTTTTTATAAAATAGTTATTATTATACAACAGGTATTGTAGTTTCCAATATACTAAGCAAAATTCTCTTCTTTCCCTTTTTTTCTCTCTCTCTGAAATCCCACCTCATCCTAATGTTCAGTTTCCCATATTCTCGTATCCATTCCAGAAGACGCCACTTAAAAGAGAAGAAACGGAAGCACCTGTCAAGAGGTCTGGGGCTCAGACAACAATCCTTCCACAATACCATCATGGCAAATGAGCAGTCAGTTGCAAAGATGAAAAAATAATTTGGATCAAAATTAAAATTCAGTCTCCAGAAAAAAAAAGCCATGATAAGTACCATCTATGAATACCATAGAGTGAATAGGAAGATCATGAGAGCAGGCCAAGCTAAGAGCCAAGTACCTACCAAAATGGGGGAAAATGAAGGGGGGGGGGAAGGAGGAGAAAGGGGAACATGCCGGTTTTCACCTGGGTTATCCAAGATGGCAACCCACTTGAAACCATTGGCTAACACAAACTACCATGACCGGCCAGTATTGCACCCACATCAGACTGTAGAGCTTTAACACAGACAAGAACATACAACAGCAGCACCACCATTTTTATATTGATTATACTTGAATATTGTTCAAAGAGCCAGTTAAATAGTGAATTGAAACTAGTCCACTCTGATTTAATGAGGGCTAATGGAAGATTTCAAAAACTAGCTGCTTTCTAGTGGAGATTAGGATTCAGCACCCTCACCATCTCAGGCTGGGTTCGATTCACATTCAGGGAAGCCCATCTTCTGGGTGTGGAGAGAGGGCTCAAAGGTCAAGAGCTCATTCTAGCCTTCCAAAGGGCCCAGGTTCAGTTCCCTGCACCCACATCAGCAGGCTCACCAACACCTCTGACTTCAGCTCCAGGAGTGTTTCTGTTCTGGCCTCTATGGACATCCACACACATGCAAGGATTTCTGAACACAAACACACGTGAACATATAAATAAAAAGCAAGCAAGAAAGGAAAAGATTCCAAATAAGAACAAATGATCAAGATCCACTCCAGGACTAACTACACAGTGTACGGCCCCCAAAGTTGCGGCCCCCAAAGCTCCGTGGGAAAGCGTTCACATCTTACCTATTACGATGAAGTTGAAAACTGCTTCCCTCTGAAGCTTTACTGAATCCCGCAGAGCATTCTTGAGGGGGGGAAAAATGGGTGAGAGCCATGAATGCATAACCATACTTACGCAAAGAATCCCCGAATGCTCGAGTCTGCTGAGGAATGAATCCCAGTCACCTCCGAATTGTGTATGTAAAAAGTCACACTTTGGCTTCCTAGGTTGAAATCAATCCAAAATTTCTCTTCTTCTTCCTCATCTTCTGGTTTTCTCATCTGTGAAAGATTTTTGGCAAAAGTTATCCAGGACTCTCATTGTTGAAGGGCCCCATTTAAATTACCAACAACAACTAATTCCCTTAGAACAGAGCTACCCTCAGCTCTCACCACCAACACCCTTTGCAAATCAGAAGTGGGCCTCAATCTCTTACTCCAAGCCATTTCCAGGACGGTCCTCTCATCCTTAGCACATTTCATAGATACTTAAATGTGTCACATGACTCTACCCACACAGTTTTTTTCTTGATGGAAATCATGAAGGGGGTGGGGGGGAAACCTGTGTTGTGTTCAGTCAGTAGTAAACCACACTGAACAGCGGTGGAAACGTCCAGCAGAGGAGGTATTGTGAGCAAGTGCGTGGCAATTTGGTGTCCACCTTACCAGTGGTCAGAGAACAGCTAACACCTGTGCTCAAGTTGCTTTTATCATTATGCAATAACTACATGCTTATAGTAATTAAAAAAAAAAAAAAAGCAGGGATTTGAGCAGTGGGGGTGTTCTAGAGTGCCTTTTCTGTTCAGCTTCTGCCCAGGCATCTGTCCAGAATGCCTTCTAGCGATGCCTTTGATCCTCCCCACAGGCTTTCTAGACAAATATCTGGAGTCCAGGCTGAGCACCGCTCACTTGAAATTCTTAGTTCTGACTTTGGAACGTCTGCATGTACATAACGAGGAAGGAGACACTCACCTCCTAAGGGAATTTCATGCAATAGTTTACATACACTTGTATTTTACCTGCATGAAGACAGGTGTGATATATTTTAAGTGGTTTTATTATTTATTGTGTGTTTGCATGCATGTGAGTGCATGTCATGGCACACATGTGGAGATCAGAGGACCACTATGCATATCTCAGGGCTCAGCAACAAGCACCTCTGTCCAATGAGGCATCCCCATGGCTCATGGGGCCGATTTCCCCTTTGTGTGCAGGTGTGTTTACGTGTGTGGGTGAATGGATGTACGTGTGTACAGGTATGCACGTATGCAGAAGCCAGCTGACAATCTTAGGCCCATCTACCTTTGTATTGTCATACGGGATCCTGGCCTAGAATTCCCTAAATTCTATCTGGCTGACCAGTGAGTCCAGGGATCCTCCTGCCTCCACCTTCCCATGATTGGAATTTCAAGTAGGTACTCCACTCCTAGCTTAAAAAAAAAAAAAAAAAAAAAAAGACTATTTCTAAGGATTAAGCTCCTGTCTTCATGCTCACTCGTGAGGCAGGTACTTTTCTGACTAAGCTTGCAAGTCCTGATCTTTTCATTTGGTATCACGGAGCACTCGGTTGCCAGCGACTATGGAACATTTTAGACTTTGGCACCAGGATGTTCAGCCTTATGCATGATGCCTTTATTCCCCCAACAGTGGATCAAACAGCGGGCTCACCATTCTATAACCCATTTTCTAGTGAACAGGACACTTTGGACAATTCTCCTAATCCAAGTCCATCACTGCAGCCACAGAGCTGAACAATGTTTTACCCACAACACAAGTCACTAAAAGCCAGGGCAAGGGGCCTGAGTAGAAGAGCCTGGATTTAAGCAAACGGAAGTGTAGAAGCAAGAACAACCACGCAGAGAATGAAATCCTAAGGCAAAGAGAGGAGGAGGAGGAGGATGTGACAGGAAGCATCCGTTCATCAAATTCAGCCCTGAACGGAAGGAAATTTGGGTGTATTGTAAGTTGAAAAGTGTTGAGGACCGTGCAGGAGGAACAGCAAAACAGCTTTGGAGGTCATGGAATTTGGCCCGCCTATTAGAACAACCACGAGGGACATGCTTTGCAGAGGCAGAGCCCGGACACAACTGTGTCCTGAGGACTTTCTGCTGTGACGGAGCATTGCTCTGCTTGTTGCCCTTTCGGTCACATCCCTCATAATATCCGAGTTGTATGAAAACCCTGATGGGGCCCCAGCCCCTCACTGAGCAGCAGCATCATTGGCACTTGGAATAATCGTGCTTAATCTCTTTCGGGCTTGGCTGCTGGAGCAGCTTAGCGAATTCAACCACCACCCTTGGAAAGGACTTAGAGATGCAGATTGTTAGCAATGACCACCACCCTTAGAAAGAATTCGGAAAAATGGATGGTTTACTGAGGTTAAGATGTTTTTGTTAGTGGCTCTAATGTAAAAAAAAAATCTTGGGGAAAAAAAATTTGAAGTTCAGAAAAGTGCAGTCTTAATAGTTGATCTAGGGACTTTGAGGTTAGGGAGCAAGAACAAAATCTCAAATTGGCACTGGCTGACATGACTCTCTCGCTGAAGCGGGGCTGGTGATCAGGATGACGATTAATTTCTTGTACCCGTTTTTGCCCTCAACTTCCTGGTGTGGTTTAATAAATATTGTTAATGAGCCCATGTGCACGTTGAGGTTTTAAAGCAGTAATGACTAACTTTTTATATAAAAGCTTAGATTTGTGATTCTTTTTTTATAAGATTGGTTTTTAAGATAATTCTTTCTTTGTAACCACAAAATGCAGCCTGCCAGTAAAGAGAAACTGGTTGAAAAATTACCTTGCATACTTAGTTTGTTATTCTATCACAAGCTGCTTAGTTACAAACGTATGTGGGTTTTTTATATTTGTTTCTCACCCCTAATACGTAAAACATTTGATCATGTGAAGGTATTGGGGAACATGTTTTTTCTTACGTATATACTCATTATAATCATCTACTTAAAAAAAAAAATAGAATGTAACCACATTGTGATTTTTTGTACTACTTGAAAGATTTTGCTGGGGTATATAAGGTGTGTGAAGAAATTAAGTTATCAGAGCTTGCCCCATCCAACACAGAGCTGTGCGTGTGTGTGTGTGTGTGTGTGTGTGTGTGTGTGTGTGTGTGTGTGTGTGT